ATTTGGACAAACAGGTCACTCCTTTGGCAAACGGGTCGCTCGTCTGGGCAAATGGGTCGCTCGTTCGGGCAAATGGGTGACTCGTTCGGGCAAAGTTGTCGCACGTTTGCTCAAACCGGTGACCACGTTGCAAACTGCACCGGTTTAATCAAACGGCTCTCCGGAGCCCGTTTGATACTGAACGTACAAATCGGCGGCGTGGGCACGCCTAGCGTTTCATCCGTGGCAGCCAATGTTTCCGGAAGGCTGGGAGCGCCGGTTCATCGATTTCAGATCGTCCGCGTAATGCAAGTAATTATATTTATATATCAATTGCGCTGATGTTCGCTTATACTGCAACTAAAACTAACACCTTTTTTTGTTGTTGTTTTACGTAAACGCGCGACGTTGGTAAGCCGATATTTTTGACAGAACTTTGAGACTTTGTCCATCCTTGTTGCCTCAATTTACTTATTCAGCTCGAATCTCTCCCGCAGAAGACGCGACCGCGTGAAAGAATGTACCTCTAGACTCCGTTTCACTTTAATTCAAGACGCAGCGAAGGTAGCACGCGTACACGCGGCTGCAAGAACATCGAGCATTGCGAGAGCACGGCCGCCGTTGCAGCAGTCAAACTACGAGCTCGCGCTAAATGCTTTCTTCGCTCGGGCGCAACCCGAGCTTCTGGCCGCCCCGCCGCCATTTCCAAGGTTCAAGCGTGCTAAAATGCGCGCGCGAACGCGCGCGTGTTTTCTTTTTTTTTTTTTTTTTTTTTTTATTTTTGAGCTTACAAAAACACATCTCTCTGGAATGCCTGGGGAGAGGGAGAGGGGCTGTCCCTGTCGTCCTCGCCCCCTCCCTCCGCTCTTGTCACCCGTCACGTGACCCGCACCCCCGCGCGAGCTACACGCTGATAAGCGTCGAGATCCGGAAGGGTGCGCCTAGCAGCCGCTTTTTTCTTTTTCTGCTTGTTGTCAGTTCCAGCTCGAACTTCGCGCGTCCACCTGCTTCGATCTGTCGCCTTACCCTGCGGTCTTATTAGGATGTCTCTCGACAACGTATTGGATGTGCACCAAAGCTATCAGTGTTCGAAAAGTCCTACGTCTATATCGGCAACAAGCGATTCTTCGAAGAAGTCAGGAATTCTTGCGGTTTGGTTGGGTTCGGCAACTGACAGCTTGTGCGCCACATCGTGTGGAAACTTCCAAGAAGCCGTTCCCTCTCATTTGTGTTTGTGTGGTTGTCCTGCTTTGACCGTGTCGACAACTATCACGGATTACATCTTTCAAGTCCGCTATTTTTATGGTAAAACCCACTTCTTGGCAACGATTGACCGTTCTTCTGCTCGTACTCTTCCAGATTATCTATATAATTATGCAGCCACTATTCTCGCGGCAGCCGGGCGAAATATTTCCCGAAAGTCTACCTTCATAGTCTAGAATTACCTCGGTTTTTGTTTGGTTTGCTATCTTCTCAGTTGTATAAAAGCTTAGAGTGCTTCTCACATTTCACAGATCGCTTGCACGTTTGTACTTGTCTACAGAAGACGTAATAAACTTTGAGGAGAATTGAAAACAATCTTTTGTGTCTGTTTTGCCGTCCATTTACAAGCACCTACGTGAGCACATTTGTTCTACGTGTTCCCTCCATGTTATAAATAGGTTTATGAGTTTCGGAACGTTTTAAATAAGTTTAATATAACCAACCTACCAGACGATCCCCGTTTAGGGCTAGCGCATAATTTCCCGATTCGAATGGCACGTTCAAACGTGTGGTCACGTGCAAGGTCGAACGGGCACCTGTATCAAACGGGCACCCGTATCAAACGGGCACCTGTATCAAATGGGTACCGTTTCGAGCGGGTACCGTTTCAAACGGCTACCCGTATCCCATAATCACGTTTGATCCAAACGGGTCGACAAGTTTGCACCCGTTTGATTTACCAGTTTGCCACCCGTTTGAATTTCAAATGGTTTTTTTCAGTAGGGTACCAGCAGTTACGAACGGCCACGCCTGACTGTGACATCCGTAAGGTACCTGTCTCACGTCCTTGTGAGGCCGCTTGCGAGCCGGAGGTACCCTTCCTACTCCGGGTTCAAAGTGGGACTGCAAATTGGACCAGCGCTTTCTCCCCAGACGTCCCTCTCGGCCTTGCAGACTTTCATTGGCGGATTGGGTGGGCGTTCTACCTGCCCGTGACCTCCTAGCACGATGGGGTGTCGCTAACTCCAATTTGTGTGTCAACTGTGGGCAGGTTGAAGCCAACACCCACGCGGTGTTTGAATGCGTTGTAGCTAAAACTTTGAGGACTCTTGTGAGTCGCATCTTTGCGCTGCCACTGAGCAGACATTTCTACGCTAGACACCGGAGTGCGGGTCTGGTGTTAGCCGCCACCTGCTACATCTTGTGGCAACAGAGGAACATTGCTGTGGGCCACCAGCGCCGTCTCGGTCTGATGTTCCCGTTGTTGCGACGGCTCCGGACACTGCTCCTCTCCCACCTCGAAGATTCACTTTTTTGCCTTTGAGGAAGAGGAGTTTTTCCGGAGGTGGCATACAGACTTCATGGGCGTTGCAGGCCGCAGAGTGGTGCTACAAGTTCGGCGGTGCCTTGATTACTTATGTTTTCACGCACCTTTCTGTAGTGTAGCCGCTGGGCCGTTCTAGTCTACTTGTTATTTATTTTCTATGTGTCTGTGATCCTTTTTTGCCACCCGTGTCCATATAAACACTCTACATATTTGTATCGCTCCCGGGAGGTTGATTTTTTAGTCGTTATTTACGTTCGCGTGCGTCCTCTTTGTGCTTTACGTTTCCTCGTTTTGTTTGTGTACTGCTGAGCCAACTTGTAAATAAATAAAATGAAAGAGTGCAGAGGACTGCAGTCCGATTTATTTGCAACCGGTATAAAAGAACGGACAGCGTGAATGAAATAATCAGCTTTCTTGGACTTGAAACGCTTCAAACCCGGCGCTTAGAAAAGAGGTTAAAACTTTTGTACTTGATATATAATGATATAAATCACCTAAAACAGTGCCCTTACGTAACCCGAGTATCGCGCGCAAATACTCGTTTTAACAATAGCAAAATGATTAGGGAGTTTAGTGTGCATAATGATACGTTTAAATGTTCGTTCTTTCCCAGGACAATAACAGCATTGAACCAGCTGCCAAAAGATATAGGAGAAAGTGCCAGTGTCGAAGAATTTATTTCAAATTTGAAAGTTGTGCCCAGGTGATGGTTTGTAATGTTTTTGTTGTTGATTTTTTTCCTTCAAGTTTACTTTGTTGTTATGTCTTGCAGCTGGTATCGAAGTCTTCTCGGTGTTGTATATCATGTTTCTATTGTAATGCTCACTCCTGCCTGGACTCTAACATGAGTCTGCAGTATTTATAACTAAAATTTAAAAAAAATTCTCTTTCCAAGATGGACTACCGTTCCCATGATTTCTCAAGTTCGGGCCGGGGCGCTTGGGAATATTGCAAATGGTCTATTCGGCATTAGAGAGAATCGTAAACGTCGTTAATTTTGTGTACCATTCAAAGCAGGAAGTACTGCAATTAAGAGTTAAACAACTAAGAAGCAATTATGTCGCAGGGCAGACTGACCTTATTCATTTGAATATCTATACGGCAAATTTCAGGGTGTGCCACGCCAGTGTTATGTATAAAAAAAAACAATCTTTGTGTGCGTAGGGTGTCTTAACTTTAATTACCGTTCAGGTAATTGAAATTACCGTAAAATATATGCAGTGGTGCAAGACGCTGCGTGCGGCGTACCGCAATTTAATAAAAGTGGGACATTTTAGAAATTAGTAGTCTTTCTCTGTTTCCTTTCAGTTTTATTTTATTAAACATCAAAATGCGGCTCGAACTTAAAGCCATGTTACCAGAGTTTATATAGTATAACACAGCCATTCCGTGTTTGATAAAAAAATGAAAGCCGTTTACAACTCCCTGCAACGCCGAATTAGAGCGCAGCTCTTGAGGAGGAGAAGGAAAAAGTGCTGAGGGGAAGGTATACTCCTCCCCCCTCCTCCTCAGTTTCTCATCCTGCCGGTTACTCCTCCCTCCGAGTGGCGTCGCCGTGGATGTAACAGTGAGGTCACGTGACCCTCGAGACGTCGCGTGACCCTCGTGACCTCAAGGGGGTTACGTGACCCTGAGGTCACGTGGGCCCCGTGACGTCACGTAACCCCGCGAGGACGTTTCGGCACGGTGCCGAAACGTCGTCGCGGTTGCGCCGACGGCGACGCCGCTCAAGCCGGAAACAGGTGCCTAAGAGCTGCACTCTAAAAAAAAAATGTATGTGATGGCTAAGATGTAATGTGAATAAACAGGGGATATTGACTTGTTCGTCCAATGGAATGAACTCGTGTCGTGCCTAGGATAATCGATGCGGGTTCAAGCTGATTCTGGTAATAAGTTGGACTGAGACTTTTCTATGTTGTTTTGGGTTGCACAATAAGACATATGCACTCTTTTTCTCAGTCAAACCTTTGACATATTATATTATAAAGCAAGACGCATAGTGCACTTTTTTAAAACTCTAGGCTACTTTCGGTGTTGTAATAACTATCCAGGAGACATTCCACAAATAAGTGTAGAAATCAAGAAAGGGCACTTCTAAGAAAAGACCATTCTCTGTAGATGAGAGAATTGTCACACCCCTGGCGCTTGAAATAAAATGTTAGTGCGACCAAACATGTACCCGTAGTGCACAGAGTCCCCGTGAAACATCACAAATTGCAACCTTGGCAAAACTATTTATATGTGACACTAGATTTCCTACTAACAAAAAAAATTACCTTACCTCGTGCCTTTTCAAGTTCAGTAGAAGCTGAATGCAAGCTTAACAATAAAAGAAGCTGAACAATTGTAGCTTAACAATGAAGATGCTGGACAATTAAAAAGCTGAACAGAAGAAGCTGAACAGTAAAAGATCAACAATAGAAGAAGCTGAACAACAAAAAAGGCCGAATAATTAAAGAAGTTGAACAATGGAGCTGAACACTAGGGGAAACTAAGCAGGAAAACTTGAACAGAAAAGGCTGAAATTTAGAAGCTAAACCACAGAAGCTGAACAGCAGGAGCTAGAATAAAAGTTGAATAGAAGCTAATCAGCAGAAGCTGAACAGTAGAAGCTGCTCTTACCTGCTGCTGCTGCTGCTGTTAGTAGTGAGCTTGAAGTACCAGAAGTTCAAACAACCATTAACCAGCAAGCTTTTTGGCAACACAGCGCTTTTCAGCTTGGCTACGACTTTGGTGCCACCCTTGCTTTCAGCGTAAATGAAACGTCCTGAAGAAAGAGAACGAAGTGACATGCGTCAACAGCACATTGAATCCTGTTGAGGTTTCCGCGTACGGCGAGCGAGTGTTCCGAAATGCGTCGTTGGCACATCGGAACGCAAAAGAGCGGTACGCCAATCGAAGCAAAACATAGATAACTCGTAGGGAGCGAACGATGACGAGGCAGCTCAGCGCACGTGGCGTTATTAGTTGAGGTCGGGGTAAAACAAAGGCATCTGGACGCGTTTTGGGGGTTAAGCAAACAGACGAGGTGCGCAAGGAGCTGACAAACTTGCATGCCATATAAGCCACGCACAATTTATGTGTGTAGATGTTTCAGACGTTTCAGATCAGAGGTGAGTGCTTAGGTCAGAAAGCGAGCACCAGATTCCATTTCACAAGACGTTCGGGCCGCAGCCAACGTTACAATCCAATGAATCAAGCCAGTCGGGAAGAGGCACCAAAAGTGCAACGTCACGACACCCGCCATCTTTTGTATGTTCGCCGTTACTGACAAAACCAATTACGCATTCATAATAGCGCAGGATCGCACACCATTCGCTGCGACCTCGAGGCTTTTAGCATTGAGATCTACACACTATCCTTTCGATCAAAGACAATCGGCGTCCTTCTGACATCACCGCTACTCCTCCGCAAAAAGCAGACGAGCTTGGCTCCGCATAGATAAAGTATGACTCATATGCAGGGTTGAGAATAAAAATCTAAATTACTTAAATCCTGATTTAAATCAGACCGGTTTCACTATCACGATTTGAATCAAACCTTTTCCGCAAAAATGGTCCCAATTATTTTTTTTATTTACGGTTTGTTTATCTTTTGGTGCTCTCTATGTGCATTTGTTTTGTATTTTGAAATGAAGGAATTATCCAGCAAGAAAGATTTATATCAAGTTGGACACGAGAACAAAGCAGTGGCCTTCCGAGCACGACGGAACATTGAGCTTTCTTTTTAACACTCACTTCACTCTTCAGTTACGTAACGCCATATAGCAAGAAAATTAGAACGCAAAAGGAAAACCAAACAACGCTTTTGCGCTAACTCTAGATATATCAAGCTGTTAATTAAACTGCTCAATAACTTTGCTGTAATTATTCCTTGCACATTGTTTTCAGTGATCGAACAGAGTAACCAATAAATCTATCATGGTTCAAGATACATCTAGTGGTTAAATACGTTACTTTATGGCTACAGCGATTTAAATCGATTAAATTTTGTTCACTTATTTTTTTCAAAAAGTTACGACTTTTTTTTATCCTGCGACCAAGTAAAAACTTGATAAATATGTTACCAGAGAAAGGTTTTCCTGTTTGTCCTTGATCGAGGAGCTTTTCAGCAAGATCACTCACCGGCATAGCCTCCAGTGGTGTGGTCGTAGTGCAAGGAGGCTGGAATTCTTTCAGCAGGCTCGTTAAGCACCCAACTAGGTTGACCGGATGTTGTTTCGTCGGGTTTCCAGGAGCAAAGGTTGCCAGCTTCAAAGTTGCAGCTGAGACCTGGCAAACAAAATTTGAAAGAATGTGAACTCTGGCTGTTGACAACCCAGAAAGCACCGAATACTCGAGGATTGGGACATGTTCGTGCTTAATTGAAGTGTTGTATTAGAATAAAAATTTCAAACCCAAAATGACTTTGGAGGCGAAGGGGGGGGGGGGGGGGGGGGGCTTAACAGTCGAAATTCTGATTTTATTTCGACTTGAAAAAAGGCTCAAAAAGGTACAAAGTACAATAATTATCCTAGCACAAATTGAAGAATGTCTTAATTACTACTTAATTTTCTTGGCTAAAAGTTCATTTTCATCATGAACAAGGTAATATACCTTTGAAAAGTGTGATGACACACTTCTTTTTAAATTGTGTCGTCTATATGTTGCTCTTGAAAGTGCTACTAGGATTTTATGGCACTAGCGTTAGGAACCTAGTGTCGAAGAAGAGCCAGCGTCGGTGGCATGACGCGAAAATTTTGATTGGTCAATAGGGTCATGATGTCACAGCCGCATGACCTCGCGAGTAAATTTCAAACCCACAACGCTATCGTAAAACGTGACGTCACGTGTTAAACGAAAGTGATTAAAACTTGACAGGCAATCAGAATTAAGGGTGGCCGCATGTCTCAAAGGATATACTTTATACTGTAATTCATTTGCCTGATGGAAACGTTTCAACAATATTAGGAGCCCACACTCCTGCGTGAGCGCTCCTTCTGTGGTCCTTGTAGGTGACGAGTTACATTTCATCAAAAAGTGTGGCAGGTTCGTGAGACTGTACGTAGGCGTGACTGATACCGGATGTTATCAGTTTTCATTTCTTGTCCTATTTCCTTCTCCCTTTTTTTTTGTTTATTTTTGTTTTTAGCACAGCAATTAACTTTCGGTTGTAAGTTAGCGCCCTCTCTTTGCGCTCCCTTGTCCTAGCCCTACGTCTTTTAGCGCTGTCCCCATTAAAAAAGTATGCACCCCAAGTAGCCCAACTACAGGCCTTGTTCCAGTACTATACCCATTGGGCCTCACACCTTGGTTCCCAAGGTCGCCACCCCGCGCTTGCAAATCGTGAAATATTACTCTCTTTTTATTCGCTATTATGCAAAGGTATCGAGACATTTCAAAACAATGTGTCGGTTTCTCCAGTACCTTGTCAATGAATTCGTACCAGCTTATTTTTTATTCAGACTGAAGCGTCAACCTTAGATTAAAACAAATGTCACTTTCTGCTCCGACGTTTCCTAATCTCCTCCTCTCCCTCAGTTTAAATTCGTATGACCAAAAACAATTTAGAACATAGCACTGCAAAACCTGTCCCAAGCCTCGGAGAATGCCGTAGAAAAACATTCTGTATATATCGACTTGATCCGTAGTATATAGATTATTTTTTCCTTGAAAACGCAGCAGCAACTTACCAACAGCAGGTTTGGCGGGAGCGGCTGTGACCGGAACATCTGAAGAGATACAAAAAGGTTCGATTACAGCGGGCGGCGGCCGATCTTCTTCTAGGACTTGGCAACACCGACGACGGACGTTATTTCCCGTGATGGGAAAGGCTCATAGCAGCTATCGCTGTAAAAAGTTATTTGGGAGCTTAACGTCCCTTTAAATAAAGGACGTTAAGCTTGGTCTATAGGTGGGCAAAAGCTAAAAAAAACGTATTCAAAGTTTTTTTTTTATTTATTTCGCAATAATTTCAAGTCTTAACTCTCATATTCGATCCGCAGTCAAAATTTTTTGCATTTGCACACCTCTACATTTTAGTGCTTTTAGCACCCACAAATTACACTACATGTAAGAATTTCGTCCAAATCCAACAACAAATAAAACAAAACATTTTCGAGAGCGGGGTTTTTCCTTTAGGCCATCCTGTAATCTACGGTATCTCGAATGCGTCTACCACTGGTGCAATTACCGCATCCTTAAAAGTCGTCCCTCGATTTCTGCCTGATCACGCCGTACAAGCGTTGTGCTGTCGCCGGCCGCGATTCTGGCGGTGTCGTGGCAGCGGGGCCTGTGACAAACATCTCTTCTTCTGCAGGTCGTCTTCCATTTTGACTATTCACGGAAGCTTCGGCGGCCAGGAGTTCGAACGCCACGACGGTACCGGCATTTATATTCGCTCGTTCTTTCTGTAGGAACTTCCTCGACCGACTGCCGGCATTGCGACGTCAAACGGCGTCACACGTCGGCTCTTGCGACGTTGTCTCTTGCGACGTTGTCTCTTGCCACTTCAGGGCCGCCCTCAACGCGTATGCAGCGTGGGACACCGAACAACTACGTCCAAGATCAGTTCCCGGCATCGTACTTGAACCAAAGGAGGACCTCGCACGGCCGGAATTATTTGAGCTCACCTCTCGTCCTGATGTGGCCGATGGCGATACTGGCCAGGGCCGCAATGCCGCCGGTCTGACCGGAACGCGTGACGCTGACCTCCAGCTGAGTCTCGTCGCTAGGTTGAAGCTCCTGCTCGAAGGACTGCCAGTCCTCGCCTTCCCCCAGAGTCCAGGATTTCACCGTCTTGGAGCCGTTTGGATGCCACGCGTTCAGACGGACTTCCATGGACTGGATGGCTGCAAGCAGGAGCCCTGAGTTAACTTTAAAGTAACGACATGGAAGTCATATTAGGGTTCAGTCATCCGAAGCTTCGTCTGATATCACAGCGAATGCTTTTCCGTACTTCCCAAGCCTCGTAACGGTCCGCGACGCAGCACAATTACATCGCTCGTGTTTCTGCACGCTAAGTCTAAAGCTCAAGAGGTCACATTTTGTAATTATCGCCAATTGCATCCGCCCAGCACTGTACTCTGTTCTCTCCTAAGATGACAATGAGCTGGAAGCTATGCGCTTGTTGAATTCCTCATAGGCATATTCTTATCGTGTGCCATTTGCCCCCGTTCCCTCTCATTCCCGCCAGTATAGGTGAAGGCAGGGAAGTGGCCGAATGGTCTGATTAGTGCGTAGTTTGGACAGCATTCTTAGCTTAGGGATCAACAGAGCATAGGCGACAGGATGGTGGCGCCCACGAGGCAGTCGGGAAGTTTGCCAATTCTCTAAGCATAGATTACTTAGTGGCTCCAGCTTCAAGCAGTGGGAGCAGGTCGAGTATCTGTTACTCCAAGAGTTATCATACGAAGTTCGTAGCAAGTGAGCGGTAACTGAAAGTGACTCCAGGGGTTTTTGAAGGGAGGGACAAGAGTTCCTAATAAAAAATTTTGGTTATACAATGAGTATAGAGCTAAAGTTTCATTTAAAGAAAAAGTCACCAAAAGCGTACAACAAACGTGCAGCGCAAGTGCAACGCGCCAAATTTAGCACATTTGTGCCGTTTTCCTGCTTTAGCGTGGGAATTAAACGGGTGTACAGTTTTACGGACACAGTTCGCTTGACATTAGCAGCGTGACGGTGGTCACGTAAACCAACATGGCACCAACCACGTGGCCACACGACAAAACATTATGATGTCGCATCATAGTGTCACATAACAATACAATGTGACATCAAATCGCGTAACACTGCTAAATTTGTTGAGCTACATGTGTGCCGATGTCGGTGCATCTCACAACACGCTGCACGTTCCGTCTCTAACGTTACCTGTAGAATTTGGATAAATATTTTTTTCTTATTTATTCGTGAATCAAGTTCAAATTGAGCATACAGGTGTACGTTTACTGGTAGTTATGGGTCTGCAAATAAATTAAAAGAAATCTTAAATAGGAGGGACAGAAAAATATACCATCCCAGTTGGGTCGCTTCTCAATGGTGGATCATTAAGGTTACTTGTCGATAAACATGCCTCCTCTTTATCTACGCGAGGTGGTTCCTCAGGCTTTACAATATGAGCTAATGCTAAAATAATTATTATAAAGCGTTCTCTGTGGTCTAAAGAAATCACTATTCTGAAAAAGAAAAAATAGCAAAATACTTAGTCCGTACTGTACGAAATTAAATTTCTACCTCTTAGGTTTAAAACAAAAACAAAAAGCTTTATGACACTGTTCTATTACTGCGAAAAGCAACAACATAAATTTTACTGCAATTCATCAATGAGAATGTTCTGAAGCTCTCGTCAATCCAGTTGTTCTTGAGAAAAAACAAATCAACAAAAATCAACCTTGCTCCATTCGGACCATCACGTTTAGAAAAACCCTATAGAATATATCATCTCCAAACCAAAAGCAAAAGTTTCAAACGAATTTTGGTTCCCCATTTTCTGTTATAACTCGGCGATTCCTCTTGCCATCAAACACTGGAATGGTCTTCCTGAAACCATTGGCCTGACATCTGATTCGAAAATATTGCTTAGGGCTCTCTGTTATCATTTTCTGTAATCGTGATAGCGCTCCGCGCCATCACTGTTTTATATCTTTCAAACTGCTGTTATTTTTGCCGTGTTTTGTTGTAACTCTTTGGTTGAGTTCCATGCACTTTGCTGATTAGGCAAGTCTTCAAAATATCTCAGGGTTGTGCTTAATCATGCCAACTTCGCTTCTTTTTTTCGGGGTGCATTGTGAAGACGTGTATTGTACACGGTGTTGGTAACGTTTAGATAGGCTTGTCCCAATTGATGGCTTGATTAATTGTATGTATAAGTCTTATGAAACCCCATGTCCAGTTTACTTGAGATATATTTTGTAATTGCCCCCCGCCCCTTTGTAATGAATGGGCTTTTGAGGTGTACTGAAAAAATAAATTAATAAGTTGAGAAAATCTTATTTTGTCCATTGCCTTAAAGGTGATGAAGTGCTGCTTTTTAATTAATATTCATAATTTGCGAGAAGATACAAAATGCAATCTTCAAAATAATAAGCATTTAGAATATGACAACTATTAAAATGTGTCTCTACTTTTTAAGAAAATGTTCCCAAAAGAAAAAGCTGGCAATCTGATTCATGTTACCGACAGTATTTTTATGTTAAATTTAAAATTTTTTTACCAGGTTAGTGTGCATGATGTAGGCACAGCTGAATTATGCAGAGGTTTCTACATCTGTCCCTCAAGCTGGTTAGGGGATTTTCCAGTGTAAAGACAGGAAACCACCCTTTGATATGGTCATGTAGCATTCATTCCATAAGTCAAAAAAGTCACAAGTCAAAATTATCTCTAAGACAATGTTCTTTAGATTTGCCGATATCTATCAGTTACATATTTACTTGTTGGTGGCAGGAACCTACCTTCTAGTAAGATGTAAATTGGATACCGTTATGTTTAGTAAGATTGAAACTGTCTTTCTTTTTATATTTAATTTAAGGGGGAGGGTAATGCTAGTTAAATATTGCAGAGCATGGTAATTATAACCTGCATGTTTCGTTTCGCTTAGCTCGACATGTCATTTGCTTTGATGTTTTTTTGCCGTGTAATACTTTGCCGCTTTCATGCATTTAGTCTTACGTAACAGCATTGCTCTTCAACACCTAGACGAAGGGAAGACCCTTCTGATTGTTATTGGGTCACCCAAAAATAAAGGTTATTTTATTATTATTGATGTCATTTAACAATCTAGAAATTTTATGCAGCCCTAGGACCTACTGTACGAACGTCCGTCACTCAGTAGGCATTAGTGATATACCACACGCAAATATGAAAAACTTGACGCCACAGAGCCTCGTGTCACGCGGGCCGACATTACGTGACCTGATCACTTCACGTGACGCAATGTCACACCATGACTTAACGCCCACGATATTGGATTCAAGAACGTTATTGACACGGTAACACGATAACTTCACACCTGGAGTCACGCGGTCACGCAACCACAAAGGTCAAGCAACCATTTGACCCGCAACATATTATCTGGTCTAGGTGACGCAAGCTACCATACCTTATAGAAGGTACAGCCATTAGCATTCATCCATTCATTCATAGTGGCACCAACCATGCAATAACGTGGCCCATAGTGACGTGCCCCTAAATTTAGCAGGACGTTAGCTCGCTAAATTTAGCCAACGACGGCGCGATACGAATACGGATACGGCCACGGCTATGACTAGGGCGACTCGACACGATGGCGACAGCTGCGCAAATTTTGACTTTGGTTTTGGTAAAGCGAAGGAACAAACCTTTGCCAGTTCGGAGGAAGCGCAGCAGCACTGTGGAGTTGTCGTCTGCTCGGAAGATGGCGCTACGAAGGGTTGCGGTGAGGTTGGGGCCTTTGATTGGCTTTGATGTGTCCACGTAAGCGAACCAGCGGGGTACTGCATGCAAAGAGAATTCTTTCGTGTCACTTCATCAAACCGTGATCATGCTACGGCACATTGTCTGCGGACAAGTTTGCTAGAAGTGCAAGATTAACCACTTCACATCATTGGAGGAATAAAAAGTCCCACTTCCAATTACGGGCACAGTATATTGAAAAGATAACCAATTCATGGATGATTTGTCCGATAAACGTGTTGAAACTTTTATACAATATGTAAGGTTTACATAAGCTATTGTATGGGCTTTTATGGTATCATATGTTTACGTGAAACTACCATATAATATAATTTCACTACATATGCTTTATATCTCATTGTAGATATATGGAGCATGACCTCGTTATTCACATATTCTTCGTCATTGAGGGCCAATGCTAATTTTTACTACCCCGATACTGCCGTAATAAAAAGAATTAAACCCACTGACAATTCTAAATACAAGTGTAAGAAGGCAGATGCAACACCAAGACTGTGCTCCTGTTATCCATATAAATTTATTTTTTAAATAAAAGTTGTATGATATTAGTCCTTCATACATTGTTTTAAATATGAAAATATTCACTACTCGCGTGGTAATTTGCTCTATGGCACATCCACATAAAGGGTGCTTTCTGCAGGAATCAATATTGGACAAATTTCAAGTATTAAACTTAAAAAATGAGCTCAGTACGGTGCACAAGGTTGACTTTCCTAATGCACAAATCTCCCGTAAAGATCAATGCCTCCGTCAATAGCAATACCTCCAGGGCCGCAGCGTTCTATGCATTTATGTTATCGTTCATTTAGTATTTATTTAGGCAATGCGAAAGCCTGCGTGACACTAGAACTAAGTGATATAAATTAACTACCCTAAAAGCCGTTAAGAATGCTCACTTAAAATAAAAAGATGAAGGGTGAAAATTATGGGGTGGGCTATCTTTCAGATGAGACAGTAAAATGTTATTTAGAAAACGTCGGGGCTTCAAGCCACGCTGCGAAGTTGGTTGGCCCGCGACGCTGTGGTATCACCTGCAACGATTGCCCACTGCACTAAACCAAATGACTCGCGAGAGAAAACTAAAGGAACTGTACCAAACATTTTGATATACTATGAAAGGCCAGTGATGTCACTCCCCACGTCGCAGGCTGCCGTCGCTGCGGCAGCTTCCGCAACAGTAATCTTTACCGCGAAACGTATGCGGTGAGAGCTACGTACTTCGCATAGTTATCAGGAGTGCATTATCATCAATCATGTGAATCAGATGCTTGTTTTGCACTCGTTCTTTTTTGAAACGAAGGCTGAGCAGTATGTTGCATGCGTCATATATACTTTCCGCTTCAATCGCTGAAGATTTTTTTTTTTCCTCTGAGGACGCCGATACAAAAAAATCCGACCAACGTGTCATACACAGCTTCGCTGTAACATTTAGTGATAAACACAACGCGGGGAGGGGGGTGGGGCGGGCATTACAAATTGCGTGAAAGGGGAAACCGTACCACAAATCACGGGCCTGGCAAGTTCACGACCCACTGTGCGATATACCTCAAGCAATTCGTCTCAATCTCTCCAGTCACAGGAACGGATACCGCTGAGTACGGACACACCAGACTTGTGCTTCACAGAGTGGTAAACACGCAAGAACCAGCTACAAAGTCAGGTGTCTAGAATTGATAGTGCGGGCGCAGATCGAGACAGCAAAACGTGGGAACCAGTAACGAACACGCATGTCACGTGAACGTATATCGCATACCGCGGACACAGTGGATCCGCGTTTTATGGTGCGACAAACACGAAGAAACCCGCCGCGACTGTTCTCGTTACATGGGCCGGTACCCCGATCGCGCGGTCGCCGGGATTTCTGTCCGATATCGCGCGCCGACATCCGGCGGGAAGGGAAAGGTGAGCGACGCTTCGCAATATTTTGTGTTACGGACATTCGGGCAAAAAAAAAACGGAATGGGCGATCTCTCGGAAGGCGGGCCTTCGTGCGGAATTTTACGAAACCGAATATTTTTAGCGAGGTAAGCCCCACGCAGTGAGTACTGCATCCTTAAAATCTGCTGATCCTCGCATTGAAAATCCAGAAAAAGTAACAATGCCAGTTTTGAGTAGTCATTCACATGGAGGAAAATGACAAATAGCCTCAGTCGTCCCACCTCCAGCATGAGCTTCCCACCTTCGATGACGCTTCACCGTCTCGTGAGCTTCGAGTGAGCATGTGCAGCCAATGCACCCCATAAGACAACAAGAAGTCATGTGAGAATAGTGCATTTGTTCTCGGAGCCATTTCGAAGCAAATTGTGGCTTTAGCCGAATATTTTCGAATGGAGTATCAAACAGAGCTTCCACGCCTTTCACTACCGTTACACCTGCTTAGATGAAAGCGCAGGTAAACACTTGAAGGGTGTTCCGAAGGTTCCACTTATTCATTTGTAAGCTAATTTTTATGTATATATTTGTTTATGGGCTGTGAACTCAGAGAGTGTGGTGCCTCGGGATGGCTAGTAAATGACAGAAGTGACATAACATGAATCCTGCAGAGATGCTCAACTATACACAATAAAGTGAATTTACATTTTTTTTTTCTATAAGCAAATATCCTTTCTTCAATCTTGAATTTGAGAAACAAGATTCTGCATGATGAACACAGGCTGTCGGAACATATCTTTCTGAGATATACTGTTGCAAAACCGCTCTATTAAAGATCCGTCTATGGACCGCACCAGGATTTTTAAAATGTCTTGTCGTACACTTTAAGAATATTTTTGAGTTTTAAAATGTTCGTCGGTTTTCTATGGGGCCTAACGTACTCGGCAAGAAGTCCTAAAGGCTATAAGAGAACCGTCATAACTTTCTGAGTGGCCTGTGGGGTCTGTCCGGCATCCTTTCCGTGATATCACAGCACCCATCGAAATCGTTTTAACGTGTCTATGGTAGAGATCACGTGACCCTTCACAATATATATATTGGGGACGACGCTGGGACATTTTTCATCGGGCGGCCCGAAAAAATCATGGAAATATTGAAGAGACTCTTCCCCATCCCTATCTTGTCGTGGCCGTGGCTAATGCGGCCCCGTCGCTGCGTCTGTGTGTTCTGTGAACGTGTATTCCGGGCTAGACAAGAAGCGCCCAAGGACACCAACTCCTCGCTCACGAAGGAGAAAGGATGCGTGGAGAAAATAGGAGGGGTACTTTCTTCTGTTTGTTTCATAGCCTGTTTTTAGTCAGTCGAAATACGGCCTTCAACAGAATCTAGTCGACCGGTTCTGTGTTCGTCAACGAGCGCAAACTTAATGCGAAAGAACGCGCTGACGTTTAGTTACCGGCTTCCCGTTTTATGCGTGGTACCTATCTCTAGAGCAGCTGAATTGACGAACCAAGGAGGTATCTCAATACACTGTTTCTAGCGCCTCTTCGTCCGTCCGTCTTTAGAAGCACTCAGCGAGCGAAAAAGACGCCGCAGGCGCCACCGTTACGCCAACATAGACGACGCCGGGACTGTGCTCAGGTTTTTTCAACGGCGGCGGATGTTGGTTGCGCTTTCGTGGTTTTCGCTAAACGCGTTACTGACAGTGTATATGTGTGCGTGGGGTGTAGGTGTTCGATTTTAGGAGTTGTAAAATCGTACATCTCAAGATTTTACACAGCGGCATGGTGAGTATCTCGAAGGATATTTTTTTTTGCGACAAGAAACTTGGCTCTCCCTTTTTGGTCTGATCGCTTTCGTGTACAGATTCTTGCGCCCAAGTTATAAACCAAGCGTTGCTTCTTATCGTATTTTTGAGTTACAACATGTATGTAAAATTCAATGTCTAAAACGAATTTTCAATAACGTATTAAACTGAATTTTTCCTCTATGGTTCACAGTCAAATGGGCGTCTAGAGGGTTGAAGGGCTGAGAGGGTTTGAAAGGCTGAAGCGTTCGACGGGCTGAGGGAGTTTGAGGGCCTGAGGCGCTTGAGGGGTTTGTTGGACTGAAAGTGTTTGATGGACTGATGGGGCTTGAAGCGCTGAGAGGGTCCCGTAGCACATCAGGGCTGAAGAGTAATTTTCACTAAAAATAATACTAATGATAATTATTATTTAAGTACAAAAATATGATCCTAAGTGGCGAGCGAGGATGTGCATAAAGGTTAATACCCGCACAGGAGTGTCCCTGCCAGCGCGCCATCCAGGATTTGAATTGAAAAAAAGAAAAATAAGACTGCAAAAAACATGCACACACACACATATACAATTGTACACAAAGTGGTACACATGGCCGCAACCCAAAATGTTTTAAAAGAAAAAGGAGGGTGAAATGTGAAGTCTACTATTACTCCCACATATTCCTATACGAATACACACAAACACACACACACACGATCAGAACTTAATTTTAAGTATTTTAGCTCAATGAAAATATCAACATTAACAGTTTCCATATATTGTGAATCTACACCAGGCTCATGCGCGCACCATCCCGCTTTAAAGGTGTGCTCTTCTTGCAAGAACGCAGTTGTGTTGTCCAGACTTTCCAAGGGACCGTGGCGGGTTACCCAGTTGAGTGCGCTTTATACCGAACACCTGAGCACTGCGGAGGTATAGCATCTATGGCGCTCGCCGCCGCGGTTGTTGCTTCTCTGCAGTGCGCCGGTGCTCGGTATGAAGCGCACTCAAGTGGCTAAACCCGCCATAATCAACACTTGGAAAAATATGAATAATGCAGTTCTGGAAGCGAATATCGAATAGTGCATTTTTTCTGAACTGCTCTTCAAAATTTAATCGCACAACCCTAGCAACGAGCGCTTGCTGGAGGCCAGACGTACCAAGGAGGCGCCTTCCGGTTCTCAATCTCTCTGTGCCTAAAGCAGTTTAATGGCTAAATACATTCGGAAGAAACAAAGCAGCAGTCGCTCACCCGCAGAACCTCCGCCAAGAGGCACAAGCCCCGGAATCTTGGGCGACGCAGAGCCGGCCATTCGTCCCGATCCAACGAGCCACTTGAAGGGAGGCATGAAGTCGTTCTCGTAGCCGCACAGGTCTTCCTCGAAGTCGCAGCTGGCGACGTGCAGACAAGGCTCCAGGGTCAAACGGACGTTGTCTACTGCCACGACTGCCGTGGAGTTGGATGTGGCATTTATGCTGCCGGAGATGAACACCTGTTTATGGGACAATAAGAGTAAAAGAGTTAAAGGAGTAGAAAAACTGTTTCTGGCGTTATCTTCTCATGGCGCAGAACCAATTCGTTCACCCCTAGAACACCAACAATTTTAATAATCCGTGGCCTTTTTTCATATAAACGCGACAACACATCCAAACCCTTTTTCGAGGTATATCTAGGCAAAGCGGCGTATTTCGATGTTCGGTCGAATTTTAGTAAGTGAAAATGCCACGCCCGATTTTTGATTTTTGGAATGGAATTATTGTTAGGGCACATAGATTGACAACGCACAACAAAAGGTTAAAAAGTAGTGTTTGTCGGAGGAACCCTATATTCTAAAGATCGGCATACGAGTTATGTTTGCCAGGAGATAGAGTCACAGCTAGAAGCTGTTTCTATTTCTTCTGGTTAATCGGGGGGTGGCTTGCGCCACCTACTCAAGTTTCCGCCGCCAGTAACTCGGTGCAACTGAAAACATCTTAAAATAAAGGTGTTTTCATCACTATTCCTGCCACTGCCTTAATGTCGTCATGTCATGCTTCGCAAGACTCTCATCGGCCATTTTATTTGACTCCAACGATTTCCCAGAAAATTCACCGACTTTCAAACTCTCTGAACATTATGGGCGATTTCACGCGGCATACATCCGCTTTAAAATCTCCCCGCATGCCAAGATAATGAATTGATTCCCTACGTCTTCACATTTATGGAGGCGGCGTTTTCCAGCTCGCTCGAGTTCTTTCGCGTCTATATCAACTGCATTTGCAGAAGCAGTCGGCAACACAAAGGAGCATCGTCTGGTACTGTATTTAGTGCACAAGAGCCGGAAATCGAGGTCGACTCGTTCGCAAGCAAAATCGCAACAAGATACCGCCAGTTCGACCCTGAAAGTAGGCTTAGGAGGCCCAGTATGTCCGTGTTCCAACTTATCGAGTCCTGTCATGAATGAAGCCACCCACCACACTTCTGCGTTTCCCCAACACAGAAAACGATGCCAATTCATCGTCTGCATTCAAACTAATGGGAAAGTGGCGGACGCCGTTCATCACTGTAGTGGAACGTGGCTCATCGAAAATAAAAAGCCGCTTTGTGAAACTGCCATGTAGGCTTTCCAGGTCAATAAACGTCCCGATAATGTTTTTTTTTTTTTTTTTTTTTTGCGTAGTTCTGTTTACGCACTTGCTTGCTTACAGCCGAGTTCTTGTGATCTCTAGCAACGAGAGAACGCAATGGCACACTGGCACTAACCTATGAGGCGACCACGGACCTATATTTGGACTAGAGCGAAGGTTTTGTGGTATATGCGAGACCAGATGCACATATTACTATTTTTGAGAAATGGTTGTTTATATCATTGGCATTTGCTTCCCATTTTGGATAACGCTTTGACATGTCGTGTGCCTCACACGTCCACGTGCAGCTTAAGCACGCCCGGAGGCGTTGAGCGCGGGTTGAATGCCAGGCGTTCAAAAGAGGCACCCTGTCGTCCTCCTATGTTTACCGTACAATGCGCCCCCGACGTGTCTTTCTTTTTTCTGACGTGCAATGTGTTCCACGGCCACCCGACAGATGGCGCCACTGGGTCTCATTGTAAGATATTCCAATAGGTTTTAAGGCACTCGGTCACAGGAGGTCAAAAGTGTGAACTGGACTTGTTCCAGCTTGTCCCCGTGTCCTTATTGAGCCGGTTTGTTAGCCCTGTATTGTGTCCCACAAAGCCTACCTGGAAGTCACCCTTCTGCTCTGGGACCTCAACTCTGGCGAGAGCCCACGAGGCGGCAGGAACCGACCCCGGTCGCGTCCAGAGGATCTCTGCCGGCCCAGTCTTGAGCGAAATTCCGGCCCAGAGGGTCGAATCTTTTGTTTCGTCCCCGTAGTGCCACAGCTCCAGGCAGCGGGGACGTTGCTTGTCCACAAAGCTTGGACTGGTCAGGTTACCGCTGACCGAGGAACCCTCTTTCTGCGGCAAGACCATCGCCCAAGCTTCAAGGGAAAGAGAACGAGGAAGTTTTATGGTCGATTCGGATCGTGCATCTTTTTCTTGACTCTAATGTCAAAAAATTGGGTTTGGGCAAACAGACGCGCCATTGGAACGAGGCGGGTAAAGTCGCGAGCATACGAAAGCCTCACCCTTAGGGCAAGATTTAGGTTAAACTTCACCGAGGCCCGCCAATTGCCTGAAAAAGAAACGCGGACACAGCCGAAGGCCGCTCGACGACACATGTGCGATGTCTAATCTTCGAGGCGGAGCGACAAAAACGCGACTGACATTGATAAACAAGTTAAGAGATTACAAATTTCTAAAATAAATTAAATAATTATTTTCATGCCCACGAGTAGTGAATCACCTTTTTCAATCATGTTCCTAAAACGCACATATTTGTGAACACTGGTATAAATTGAAGTTAAAAGCAACCTGGTGTGCAAAAGAGCACCTAGCATGATGTCACATGTAATTCGAACTAACAAAATATGTAATTAGAAACTAACAAATGCAACTTCATTTTTACTTCATTTTCTCTAAGATAAGGGTTTTGTCAAAAAACCAACAATCAATCCTGCAAGTTTGACAAGTAGGCGAACTCCAATACTCACCAGAAGTGACGGGCCCAGAGCGCTTAAGCGCCCTGCTCATGCGGCTATCGGGATCGAGCCGTTGGCGCTCCCAGGAACCGTCTAACTTCCAATCACACAGGCTGTCCTCAAACCCGCACACACCTGGAGGAAACGGATACATCACCGCAGTCATGGAAAGCTGAAGTAACTGACGCAGATACTTGAAAAGTGAACATGCTAAATTAACCAACTGACCGTCGTGATTTTTCCGAAAAGTTGTTTGAAAGTAGTCGAGTTTTGTTTCAGAGGAACACTATAAACCAAAGGTTAGTGCACAGTTTTCTGTGTCCTAATTATCTATAAGGAGCTCGCACAGTGCTTGCAAGCTGTTGAGGTTTAGAAGCATCACATGAAAATATTGAAGGCAAAACGTTACCACCTTTCTTTCATTCGGTTTCGTTTTGACGCTTTATCCTCCGCGACATTCCGGCTGCTTTAGATTCCGAACCGGATGTACTTTACAGAGATTCTTTGTCGGATTCTAAGCCCTCGTCGTCTGAACTCAATTCTGAGAAGCGTTAGAAGTCTGAATGGGTACAGACGACGTTCCGGTTGCCATTACCACGAGAGCAGCCGACATGCAAAGCAACCGTCTCATGCCGCATCACGTGCGTGGGTCCTCTAATTTGAAAACTATGAAAGTTTACGGTAAGTTTGATCTCTAAAATATCTCATAACTTTCGGTCGTGTTCAACACCGGAAGCGTTCAAGTGCTACGTGCACACTGGCGCCACCCTGTTTCAATTTCGCGCAGCGCGTCACAGGTGAACGCAAAGAGTCGTGGCACCATCAGTCACAATCAAACGCAAGTCTGTGAACCAGTCTTAGAACCTTACTTCTTTCGATGAAATATTGAAAACAATGCTTTTGTGTCTGTGTGTGTTTCACCAAGTGTTTAGCACGAAAAAAAAACATTTCGGTTTTGCCAAGTGTTTTGTTCATTCATCCAGAAACAAAAACATCGTGTCAAATATTTGAACGGGTCGCGTAATTTCCCTAGTCGTCACTGGATACATAATTAGTTAATTAACACTAACTGCGACAAAGACGGATAGCTGTAGTTTTACGACCGTTTACTTAGCAGCTGAGACATTGAACGGCCCGCGTTCGACCGCGAATGCGAGCCCCCGTGGGCCCCATTTTATCTCAGTGAAGACGATGGAAGACGAAGTAAACGCATCGTCATGTTCGTTTGTCACATCACCTTCCCGAACCAGTCCCCGACAAAAGGAAAAGTATACAATGTGATGTGAGGGTGCTGTTAACATGTAGTGCGGAGCACTCCTGACAAATAGAAACTCTGCCGCGCCAGTGGGCTAAACTGTGTTGGGAAGCAGCTGGAAGTTGATTATCCGGGACAGAGCTATAGCTATTCAGGGGGAACATATTTCTGGCTGTAATTCAAACGAATGACGCCACTTGGTGGCAAAAGGGTTCCGAATGGTAGGTCATGGGTGTCAGCTGCCTGGTTATGCGATATATGCGTGAAATAATGGCACCACTGAGTGTGATTTTGTCCGCTCGTTTGTTTTAGAAAGAGAATTGCAGTGCTGCCGACACGTTTGACGAAGTTTGGCTAAGACACAGCTGCATAGTCGTCATAGCCAAACAAATTCCTTCAAACTGCAACCCTGAAGTTTGCTTAGTGTGCTTGCACTTATCAACTCTAAAAAGACTTCGTAACTTAAGAAACAGGACCAGCACACGCACAATTTCTGAGATCTGGCCTGTAGCTGTGCTGCTCGTATAATGTACATATCAGTGCACAACAAAGAGATACTGCCGTGCAGAAAGTAGAATACAATAAAATCGTTATGAATTCAACGGGTATATTTTTTTGTTGTTATTATTGAAACTTTATTTTAGAAATTATTACGGATCCAAAGATGATTCTGATGTTACCAGAGCTAATGTCAACAAGCTAAGTTTTCGCAGACCTGATTACCAACCAAGTTTTTTATCTTTGAATTTTTTTTATGCACGCAGCCAACACAATTTCCTAAACTACATGCAGTTCGTTCTCTACTACGTACCTTTACCGTCGCCAGTGTCGTCACAAGTTCCAGCGACAGCAACGAACTCGGTCAGCGCAATGTGGCCAGAGACGCACATGGTGCTGTCCACTCGAAACATAAACTGGAAACAAAGGAAAGGTACAATTAATGAATGAATAAAATAATTATTTTGTTTATTTATTTAATAACCTTCAGGTTCAGAGGCAAGACCATGCGCAAAACTCAAATACCCATAAGAAAAAAAATTCAGTGAGATCCATTGGTGAATTCTTAGGGAATGCGTTAGCATAACCCTTTAAAACGCCACACACGTTTGTTTGTTTTTTTGCGTTTCTTTTTTTTTGGGGGGGGGGGGGCGGGGGGGGGGTGGGGGGCGAAACGAACACTGACCCATTCACATCTCTCTTTTGGCTTTTTTTTTCTTCCTCTATTTCTAACTGCCACTGTTTTCGCCTCGTCACAGGGTCAGTGTTAGCGTTTCCCAAAGGGGGTCATGGGTGGCGTTTCCACATGATCATGCTAACGGATTCCTTAAAAATCTACCAATCAATCTCTCTGTAATTTTTTTGACACTTTCTGTATTCTGCCTGTTGCCTGTGAGAATATGTCAAGTCATTCGATAGAGTCATCCATATCACTTATGGAAAGAACCACATCCATCCCCCTCATGCAAGGACCTTCATTTATATTCACGTGTGGGAAACCGCATCCATCGTTTTAACTACGCACACACACGTCATATCCCACACACCGCTAGTACGAAAACCCAGAGCAAACAACAACTATTGATGGCAGAGCGGCAACTGAGCACAGCCGCATTCCACCGCGCCGCGGCGCAACACCTCCTAGATAACAAAGCCGTAGTGCTGAATGAGATGGCGTTATCAGAGAACGCCAGCGCTGGGCGCAGATTAAATACGACGATTGCGTCAACGTTCGACACAAACTTGACTCGAAGCCGAGCACTGACGCAGCACTCGTTTCTAATCTGTGTCCAGCGTTGGTCTTCTCCGATGACGCCATTTCATTCAGCACTACGGCTTTGTTATCTAGGGTGTGTTGCGCGGCCCCTCCTCCTCCCTGGCTCCACGCCAGCTCTGCACGCGACTTTGGCGAAAACAAAAGGGCTCGTTTTGTCGAAAACCCGGTGGTGTCTGTCAGTTTGTCAGCGCCGCGAAGACAGGGAAATGTTGACGCGTGCTGACGTGAGAGCTTTGGACCAATGACAGAGCCGAGCGCGTCACCCTCTCCTCCTCCTTTTTCCTCTCTCCCCAGTGCCGACGAACGAAAAACACTGCAGAGATTTCGTCAAAAAAAATGAGGGATGTAAATTCTGTGGAAAGATGTACCCTCACACACAGTTCAGTGTGTGCTGTGTGAGGTTGGGCAATACAATGCTGCTCTTCCGTGAAGCATGTTTTTTTTTTATTCAAACACTGCTCGAATCCAAGTCCCCCCCCCCCTCCCCCGATTTGGTCAAACCGGATCGAGGCTTACATTGTCGGGGTTTGTCGGCACGTGTCCAAAACACAGAACCGTGTTTTCAACCCCAGCACATATTTGCTTTCACAGCACACATTTACAAGGGGAAATTATAGGGCATTCGTCGAAACACTCGGGGTGTAATATACTCCTTAACTCCTGGATTTATTGGAACTTACTATTTTTCTCTGGAACATACCGGAAACACGAAGCCCACTCGAGGTGGTCCATGCGATTAAACCCGAATCGCAGCATCTTTCAAAATTAGATCGGCTTAAACAAAACAAAGTACATGCTGCCTCGTCGCTACACGTCTGGAAAGCAATACTGCTCACAAAAATATTAGATGGTATATGTTCAGAAAGGACGTGCTCCAACACACTTCATTCCTCTAGGGACGAACGAATGGAACAACCAACCAAATAAAATTGTGTACATAATCTCTACAGCATTGTTTTTCAATCAACTATTCGATATTGTAGTTTTATTGTTATGCCTTTACACGTTGGCGATCTTTCTATATGTTCGGATTATAATTAAAACTTGCACATATTTGTTACAATTTACCTTAAATACGCAGCTTTTTGGAAAATGTATAAACATCCCCTTCTCTCACTAATGGCTTTCAGGCGCTGCCGAGGCAACCTGAATAACTAAATAAACCCTACGGATAATGGGCTCATATGTAGGAGCAAGCCTCAGTAAATTGCAACTCGCCTTGTTACGAGCGCTCTTGAGGTTTAAGGTCCGTGTCACACGGTACCACCGGTCAGCGGTGGTGCAGCCAATCTGCTGGAACAGCGTGGAATTGCTCGATTCGCTCAGGTGCTTGAGCACGAGCCTACGCGGACCAGCTCCAAACATGTAGTAGTGAAAGGACAGGCAGACAGGCTCGGAGAGGGCGGGCAGCGTCGGGGACCGAAGCTCCAGCGCGACCACAGTGTCGTTGGCAGAGCCCAGAAAGCTGCAGTCCATGTAGAAGTAGTCCCCTGCACAGTGATATGTTCACCGGTTATAGGAATACAAATAATGTTAATAATATCAATAACAACAAATTAATGATGCAAGTGTATGCTCACTTTTTCGTGGAGTTTCAAGCCGGAGAGTCAAGTATATATAGCAGAAGAGGCATCTGTCATTTTCACCTCCACTGCAGTAGCTGCGTATTTTCCTTACCAATTTGAAGTGCAGGGGGCGCGGCCAATTTCGTCACAGACGTCCAATATATATTTGGTGCTTTTTGACGTAAACACGTTTTATTTTGGATGCCGCCGACTGCATTTCGAAACGTCGGTCGGTCGGCGAGTGTGTGCGCGTGGTCGGGTGCTCGGCGGCTAGGCGGTGTACTCGCTGGTGTGTGTCGACGTGCCGCCTGCGCTCGGCGCGTATCAATTGCCGACATCCAGAAACAGTGTTTTCCAATTTAGTTCGCCCCGTGCCGTCGGTCACTCCTGTTGCAAAAGAAGATTCGAAGGGACCACAGTACCGTGACCGTCCAACGGCACTTTTGCAGAGCCCTCAATTGCCGTCCGATGATACTTCACCGAGGGTACATACTTCGCGTTAAAAGTCCCGTATAAAACGAATTGTCAAAACGAGGTTTTCGATCCTGTACCGTAGCTTAGTGGTTAAGACGTCTGCTTCACACGCAAGCGGTCGTGGGTTCGATTACTATTTTAGTGATTATTTTTTTTCGAACATTTTGTTTTGTTGGGGCATTTGGCGATATTTACGACATTGTTTTTTCTTTCTACGATTAACATTGAAAAAGAAAAAAAAATGTTGTCGACGACAGTGCTAAAAACGCGAGCTAGTTGCTTTGGATCACGGGGCACGAGCGCTCCTGCAGCGGGTGCAGTCGTGCCAGTCAGGACTACTCGCTCACCGCTTGCACGGCCTTCGCAGCTATTCTATGCAAGGGAGATAGTCCGTCGTATTGCACACAAGTAGAGCTCCAAAAAAATGCGTACGAAATTACTGCGGCTGGGCTCTGTCGCCTCCGCTACACATAATCTTCATTTGCAACAGGAGTGACGGACGGCACCGACCAAAGTTTGAGAATGGAGAAGGCTTATTTTGATGTTCCTGAGAACGCGACGAGTACAGGCGGCAACGTCGACAGCACGCACCAGCGCGGACACCGCCAAGCCGCCGAGCACCCGACCATACATACGCCGAGCGACCGACATTTCGAAACGCACTCAGCGGCATCAAAAAAAAAAAAAGAAACCTGTTGTTGACGTCAAAATAACTAAAATGTCAAAATAAAAGGTTTATTTTGACGTCCGTGACGTCATTGACGACGTCTCTTGCACTTCAAATCGGTGCCGAAAATACGCAGCCACTGCCGTAACAGTTCCAGGATGGCGACAGGCAACTGCACGACATTTCTACGACGTCATTAAGAGGAAATCGAGGGACCACGTTTAAAGGAGCGGTGCAACGATATTCAGTTGGAATGTTTTTCACTTTACACGAGTTTACTGGCACACCTGGGACCCAAGGATACTCACACGCAACACCACTGGCCCAGAAACTCCTTTGTTGCGGTGTAATTTCAAGGACAAAAGCGATCATTTTCATTCCATCTCTCCTCTGCAAAATTTGATGACGTAACTCGGGGATCGCAGTACACCCAAGTGACGATATTTGAATGCGGTTCATAGATCGGACCCGAGCATGGAGTGGACACTCGATTTGGGCTCGTGATAATCGATAGCTCGAGAAACATTCGGGTAGTGGCCCGTGCCCAATCGCTGCAACGACGACAACAGCCGAGCCGTAGCAATGTCTGGAACTCAGCGCGTGTCCTGTGCTTTGCCAACCCCAGCCCGTGGCTAGGGTCAACATTGGCGGCAGATGATCGGCTCCAGATCACGTGGCCGCTTGTTCTGGCTGCGAGTTGAGGGGGTGAACGCTGCTCGTTTTTCTTTAATCTTTTTTTCAAACTTATATTGAATGGGGTGAAATCCGAACGCGTGTTTCATTGGTCATTAACGTCAGGGATTCCTTTTAAGCGGTATTTGCGCAAAGTACAAAACTTGTTGCATCGCCCCTTTAAGGACGCGGAAAACGCAGTAGCAGTCGCACACACGTTTTGGGCATCACAGTGAAAGTAGGTCCCCTAGAGATATTAGGGTGGACACACGCCGAATCTCATTACAACGGACCGCTGCAGCCGCCACAAGCCATCGGAAGCAGTCCCACGAGAGTGAGGGTCACGTTAGCTCCGCAAGGGCTGTAGCGACACGCGACATGTTCGCGTAGTCACTCAATATGTTCAGAGCACTGGAAGGGCTAGAGGGCTCATAGTTCACAGTGGTAAAGTATAGCTGCTATACACAGACAAAGTTTGACAGATCGCCGCGAGAAGCGGCCGCCGAAATGGAAAAGGTGGAGCGGCAGACAACGGATGAGAGGAGAGCATGGAGAATAGAAGGGTAGAAGAGGGCATGACGTCGGCCGCGTAGCCTCCACAAGCCATGCTCCCTTGACGCCTCGCCTCTTTCTCATTTTCCTCCTTACACTCCTCACTTACCATGCCAACGTGACCATATCACGTGACCATAACTAGCCTTCGTCTTACTATAGGCTACTAGAATACACCACAGTCTAGCCTTCGATCTGATAAAACCGACCGGACGGAGCGCGCTCAAGCCTGCAAGGAGTCCTTCTACAATCAACCATCCATCTCTCACGTGACATGTCACGCGCACCAATCGCCAGAGAGATCTGCGGCCACGCTGGGCACAAAATCGTTCAAATTGTTTATGACTAGGCTTCACCAATATTGCAACGTGACCCCTCCTAGTGCTTCTAACCTCCTTGGAGGAGAGCCACAAGACTGGCGCCCCGCTGCGGCGAGACGCCAAAACACACTTCTCCCGAGCGAACAAGTGTGTTTCGGGTTCTCGCCGCTACAGAAGCTGCGCGCTGAGGACCAGGTTCCCGGAGAAGAGGCTCTTTGATGCTCTGTGCTACCAGATCCTCGCGCTCCTAACCTGCGACCGGGCACTTGTGGCTCCGTCGTCGAACTGCCAGGCTTTGTGAGTATAGAGGAGGCTATAGAGTGAAACTTCCTCGTTGACATTAACATAGCACGAAACTACAGATTCTACGCGAGTACGGAGATCTGGGCGTACGTGTGGTTCGGCGACCAGTGGGCTTCTGAGTGCGAACGCAATGCGAGATTTTCTCTCTGACATACGTGGAACATTTGTGAAAAGTCACAGGAAACATTACTCGCTGTTGCACAACCTGAGTACTTTTCTCTAGATGATACGTTTATATTTAATTGAGTGCTATAAAGTACCCGGCCCCGCAAAGACAGTTCCGACGTCTCCAGAAAAAAAAAAGAAAACTCGTTTATTAAAGAACAAGGAGAAACGGAGTACGGCCGTTAACATAACGACACTGGTCACTCACCTTTCGGTCCCCCCGGAGGGCCGGGGGGCAGAAGAGGGGTCTCGGGAGAAACATCCTTGCCAAAACGCCAGCGAGCACCTTCGGCCGAAGTCCAGTTTTCCCACGTGCACTGGCCGTCGGGTTTCAGGGAACAGCTCAGCAGCCCCAGCACTGTTTCCGCATAAACAAGCAAACTGCGCTTCAGCCCGATCTCTGGTGTAGAATTGACTAGAGACAAGTGTATAAAAAGCATGTGACTACAAGTCAAATAGTAATGTTAAACATTCATATACAATCGAATATGAATATTATATAATCACAAATATTCGGCATTTTATGTGATTTATGAATATATACTTCAATAAATGTCTCCTACCTCGGCTACCCCTTAGCAACCGATGCAACATTTTGCATTTAATGTGAACTGAGTATGGTTAATTTAATAAATTGAATACATATATTAAAATTCGAACTAGACCGAATTTTAAAAAGTTAATACCTATATCTTTTTCATTTAACGAGAATTGAGTGTGTATAACCATACCAAGTAAAATATAAATATTAAAAATTTATAATTTATCCAGTTTGAACCTAGATATTTTATATCCGATATAATTTAAGCCTCACTGCTTTAAAAAGTTGAAAATGAATATATTAAATTTGTATTCAACTGAACTGAAATATTTTCAAATCTATATATTTGCGTTCAATGTAAATTGAGAATGAATCATTTCATAAATTACCGCTGGAATTGTTTCAACAAGCATACATATGAAACGGTATGTTTATTGCAGGAGAAATGTTTTGCATAATGGCATTGAAAAAGGTGCAGACCAGACGAGGAGGGTGAAGCGTAAGGTAACATGGCAGGCATAGCAGCCACTGTTTTGTTTACTAAAAGATAGGCTGAAGTTTTTTATTGTTGTTTTTATTTGGCACTGCTCCCTACAGGGAAACTCAAGGGGTTCAATATTTACGGCAAAAACACTTAACGTGTCTCCATTTTGCCTCCAGGATTACATTTATCAAAATTATATAGCAGACTGATGCGACAAGTAGCCACAACAGCGCTTTCAAAATAGCACCCCTCCTTCCGATCATGTTCGATGCGAGAAGGAAATTATGACGCATTATACAGAGATCTCAACATTTCCGCGTTTTTCGTAAGCCTTACCTGAGCAGTCAAAAGCGCTGAGCATGTTCCCTCACAAGCGACACGAGCAAGGCAGCTGAAACCTCTGGGTATGGCTTCACACTCAGCAGTTGGCTTTTCGGTTTTTGTCGCGTTTATGGATACCTTTGGGTCAAATGCTTATGATATTTAAATTCACAAGACAAATATACTCTAGAATTCACCTCTAACTCAATTTTTTTTTTTTTCAATAACCTCTTTAGCATTTTTTTTTAGGTAGTGTCGGATTATAATGGTAGATGAAAGTTGAGCTCCCAAAACGGAGCAAAATTTCCGAGTCCATCAAGCCAACTGAGATGCTCTACCATATCAGCCGCCTCTCCGTACACGTGGTGTAAACCAGTGAAACATGCTAGGAGAAATCGGTAATTCTTAAAGCATTATTAATCATGTTCAGATATTCAAAAATAAGTACTTTGAACAATAAATGTGCGGGCTGAATTGAATTGAACAGCAAACATTATTCATATAAAATGGGAAGTTTCAAATATTTTGCACACCACTAAAATTTACTTATCCTAAAGATTATTGCAGTTCTAAGTACTCGGCAAAATGTACCCAGCTAAAAACAGGGCGACATGTTTGTGACAAATGTCCGCACATTAGTTGGTAAGCCAATGATTGTGATAGGCTCATAGTGTGCAGATCACAACTGGAACGTGCTATTTGCGATGTATGTCTGGTCTCCCGAAGCTCTGGTTGTTTGCCAAAAGGATCGGGGAACGTACCTTGTCAAGACAACTGGAGGCTTCTCAACTTTCCCCCGGTTCCTGTAGTTATTTTAATCATACATATAAAGGATTGGCTGGTCGATTGGTTCACAGAAGTCCGGCAAATGAGGGGGCGCAAGCAACTCACCCATTTTTATTCGCGCTGATGAAATAGGCATCTTATTTGCATCGCACCAGCTGACCCCTATACTATAGTGTTTTTTGAACGGGCTTATAGGTCACACTACTCTCGGGAAGTAATGTGAAATTCTATTAAATAGCTTTCTGTGCAGTGTAATTCTAATTTTTATCAACTAATTTTCAAGCGGAGGAATTGTAATGTAAAATAACTACGCTTCCAAGTAGTTTATCCAAATAAGATAGAAAATGCCATGTTAACTCACGCTAATTATTAATTATTTCAGAAAATGACACTGGACTTGATGCTAAAAGATATCCAAAAATGCTTACAGATCGAGGCGCATCTTTGCTAAAAATAAAAACGACTGGCTTCAACCTTTCGTCAACGACAACGAAGGCGCGATACCACCTAATAGAGTTTAAAAATAAACAGCACTTTCTATCAGAACATTTCCCCGCTAAATTTAGTATGGCAATTCCAACACCACATCACGTGACTCCATGGCAGCACCTGGCACTGTGGCACCATGTGACAGTATGACTCAACTTGACATCAAGTGTAACGTCATAATTCGCTTCTCACGGGAGGGCTTATGACGCGAAGCCAAAGGTTCGCTGTGTTGCTAATACTCCCTCCCGTGATTCCGTTACACTGGAGCGAACACCAATACGAGCAAACAAGGTACATGGAGAAATCCGATATAGAGCTATCGCTTTAAAATAGTGTCAGCTATTTTGGGAGTGTCAAGGGAGGTCACATAAGTCAAACTCAGTCACGACATACTGGATAACAAATTTTGCTAAACCCAGTCAACTCATAAATTCGTACAACGGTGAAACGGTGAGGCATCCAAGCTGTCTCACCCCTATTTCTTGCAGCGTTGTCGCGTGGGAGATTGCTGCAAGTCTCGTTCACGTAGACGGCGATGTCGTCCAGTGCCATGTAGCCGTCCTCGGAGTCTTGGATGGACCCTTGAAACATTATCTGGGGACATAGGACCAAGGTTTGTCGTTCTAGAGCGGCCAAATCAAGAAAAGCAATATACGCCTACACCATTCAAAGCCGTTCACCTCGTTTTATTTTTTTTTATTTATTAATACTATAGTTAGAGTTCAGTGTTTTTTAATAAATTAAAAAATCACAAATACACTAGCCGGTAAAATCTTCACGGGTTCGGCATCCGGAAACTCGGAATATTAGGCTCACAATGCACAAAAAAAAAAAAAAAAACAGAGAAGGGCGGCTATCTACATTTAGTTTAGTTGGAGCACAAGGTCAGTGGTCGTGAGAGGAGACCACTCCAGTTTCTTTTGAAATCTCGGATTATCGACAAAAGGCTCTTTATCATTCCTATTTTCAAGGCTCGTCCGGAAAACGGGTCACTGCACTTCTGGGTCATAACAAAAGCCACTGCTCCATTTTACAAATTGAACCAAATTATTCGTGCTTCGCAAAGGGAATTAAGAGTTGTTTTCTTTAACAGTTAAAGCTATGCACCCTTAGATTTCATAGCAGGGGACCGCGGGCTGTAGCTGAAGCTTCTTTATAGACCAGCACGCTGCCCTGACGTCAGGCAGCTCCGGTGGTGCTGTCGACGTCAGTGCGCAGGATGAGACGCTTCAATTTACGCGAATCCGCTTTCTGCGCAGGCGCAGTGCCCCCACCTGGTGTGGGCAAACGCGGGATTGGTTTGTAAACAGCCTGTCGGTCTATAGACCCCTTTCAAAAGAGTCCTTTGTTGTGCAACTGTGGAATTCCTGAACAACAGCGGACTAAAACCGAAACGTCACGGCACACTTCATGCGTTTGCTTGAATTAAAATGCAGAAGGACACATACAAAAAAGGTGACGGGCGCAATGACGTTGCACTTTCGATGCTGTGTGATTGGTTCGTCGGCTCCTATCATCGGCCACGTTCCGACGATCGCAATCTTAGAGAAGGACTTGCATGTTCCACGATTTTAGTTATTCCGCCATTGTGCAGAGGTTCGGACCTTCGATTAATCGGCACATGAAGCCTTGCAGCAACTACATTCAGGCGTTCAGTCCTTTTAAAGTATTCTCGTTTATTGAGCCAACACTTGTTGGCAAGTTTGGTCATGGGACACATAGTACTTGCCTGTGGCGAAGGCGCCAACGCCTAACCTATTTGAAGAAATATAATCATTGAAGGCGTGTTGTTGTTTTTTTTTTAATTAGGGTATGTTTGTGTCAAAATCACTACTTTTATTCTATTTTTGAGACAGTTTGAACACAGCAAAATTAAACACGAAATTTCGGAGAATTCGGAATGTAACAAAGTAATCTCCAATACGCCCTGAATTCATGGCAAAAGAAAGTAAACTCCGCAAAAACATCCCACAAATTTCGCAAGAAATATACTCCAGAAACACGGAACACTAACTGCAGTTACTCGCGAAACGGAAATGGCACGGAGGTCCTTCGGTTTCCCGGCCTGCAGCACCAACTTCCTCGTTTCGGCATCTGGTGATCCTCAAGCGTGCGTGCGCAGCCAAAGCACAGTATAAAGCAGTTGAAGCACAGTTGAAATCAGCCAAAGCTCCATGGAAAGTATCCAAAGCACAGTAGAAGGCAACGAGTGTGTGCTGGATGGGAGGCCTACAAAATAAACGCCCTGCCGCTGCCGTTTTGTCTGTAACTGAACGACATCATGGTTTACGCCTGTCGGGTAGCTTTGACACGCTTTTTCTCCACCGCAGAAAGTCCCGTATCCCTCTTTCTCGTCGAATTTGTTCTCGGTGTTTTCCCATGCTTCGGCGGTGGTTGCAAACCATGTGTAATTTTTGTCGTCCACAGCCTCTTCTCAAATGTCTACGTTTCCATTATCAATAAAGTACTGGAACTCACTCACTTGACCGCAACGTTTTCAAAAACCATACTATTAAACCTGCAGCAGTCACTACCCTCTCTTTTTTGATCCCCTGAACTAGATTACAGTGTGTGTAATATTGTGTACATGTTGTCAGGATTGTTTGTATACAGGGTGTTTTCCTGGCTTGACAGTTCTTTTTTTTTAAATAAGCCGTAAAAAGTACACAAATGCAGTCTATGCAGGTGAGTTGTACACCCAGGAGGGCATGGACTTGTGCCTGTCTCAAGTACTCTACTCAAGATACCGTATTTCAAATACTTCTTAAAGTATCTTGGTATCTTGCAAATACTTTTGATCGAGAGCATTTTATACTGTATTTTAAATACAGTTCTGATATATTGTACTCATTGTCTCATACATATTTTTGACATTCCGCCATTTCCCAAGCTTTTTGGTAATGAGTGGCGTGGCCATGGCACGAGCAAACTTGAACATTTTTTCGAGCAACCAAATCCTCTCGCTAGTTCCGATAAGCTGCGATGACTTAAATTGAGCTCATTAAAACACCGCTTTTGTGGCGATTATGACTCAAAATTCACACCAAAGTTTGTACGATGAAGGTTTTCCCCCTCGCCTTCCCAAAGGCGCCTTATTTTCGTAGTTTCCCAAAACAAAATCCTCAAACAACAGGGATGGTTTTACGGAGGTAAAGATTGCCACACTGAGGCGCAACGCTGAACGGGAAACGATCCACGACAACAATGCAGACTTTAGTGTCAAGAAAATAACAAATAGAAGAAAATGAAAAGTGAACACCAAAAACGAGACTTTTTTTTGCTGCATATTTGATTCCGCTACGCCAAGACGTCGAGGTTTTGTTTGTTTATTTTTTTTCGTCGTCAGTCCAACACTTATCGCTCTCACGAACACTGCCTGTAAGCGAACATTGATAAGCAGAGAACAGGACAGGAAACTAACTACGAGCACGATGACCTCTCAAAATGCCAACAAAGCGTCCCCCAACGTTGACTGCCTTTCTAAACGCAACCTACTTGAAAAAGGAGCGACGAGTGCCGTGGCTATTAAGGGGGCTCTCTTTGTTATCCATTCACTCATTTCTGTAACCCAAGTTCGTTTAGAGTGAACCCCCTATATCGGAAATATAGATTGTAGTTAAACGATGTGTCCAAGGTCCGTCGCAGGATGTGATATTCAGCAATGTCACCATTCGCAGACTTCCGCGCTGGTAGCACCGCGGTGTGAGAATCGCGCTCCCTAGCTCCTGGATGATCGGCTTCACGCGAAAGGTGCTTGCCTAAACTTTGTTGGCGGGAAAAAATAAAGTAATGCTGCTCGTAAAAGGCAAAACCAGAATTAATTACGCTTCGCACACCCCGCCTCTTACTCCTGTTGTAGGACGATCATTAAGATAACAGCCATTTTGATAGCCACCAGCACACCCCTTATAGGTCGTTAAGTTCGCGAATAGCTAAAGAGACCTCTTTATTTTTTGTTTTGTCCCAGAAATGTTTTTTTTTTATCTATCAGTGATATGGGGCTCCTCATGGTTGGTCTGCATAAAATAGTCCTACGATGTATTTTTGTTTGTTTGTTTGTTTGTTTGTTTGTTTGTATGTTTTTCGTTTTCTGTCGTTGCGTGCTTATAACCCATTTAGGAAAATGAGGCTTGCGCAACTGTATAATTCTGTTGGTCACTGATGCCGATACAAATTACGTAATGTGGAAACATCTTCAAAGATAAGTGAATTACGTGTCTAAATATTTCCGCTCTACTCAAGATACTTTACAGTGAAAGTAACTTGAGCATTATTTAAATACTCTATGAATCAGGTATTAATTAACTTAAATACTTTTATCGAGCATTTTGTCTAAGACTGACCATATGTTTATTTCCACTAATTAATGAGGTAATGAAAACATTTTATTTAATCATATGACTTATGATGACGGTTGGCGCACTATGTTATGTGACAGAATATGGGGTGCCAACTACCATAATAAGTTGTATAATTAAATAAAATGTGTTCATTACCTTATTAATTAGTGAAAATAAACATATGGTTACAAATAAACACTTGATAAATGAAACTGAAAATAAGTAAATCTTAGAAATATTTCGAATTTGAAAGGAGCACGATGGCGCCTAAAACTACCACTTGTACGACAGGTGTAAGGCTGGAGGTGCGAAAACTCTAATGTTTCATCATTCATATTTTGGTACCGCCAGCCTCGCGCCTGCTGCACGTGTGGTAACTTTAGCGCACTATCCCGCGTCCCACGCCAGCAATGCGAAATATGATGAAAATACAATAGTTTCCTGAAGGCCTACATATAGCAACGATTCCCAGTGGCTCGTGGTTTCGCGTATAAGCAGAAGCATTCATATGTATAATCGCCGCCGTAAGTCTACGGCCACAATGCCCAAAGAGGCAATATGCATCATTTTTAGTTGAGAAATAAAGCAGTTCTTAAGCTGACCTTCCCTCGCTTCACATTTCCCCCGAGATCGTGTAGGCCCGGCACTAGCTGGCAGCCGGGCAAAACCTGAACTTTCAACAGTACACAAAACAAGAAAGTGAAAAAAAATGTTGCATGATACCAACCCGGTGTCCTAGGGAGACCTTCATCTGTCCGCGAAGCCAGTGCCCTGCGGTGTCGTCCTTGAAACTCCAGACAGCGTTGAAGCCAGTACTGTCCACTGCTGTGAGAACCTGAGCACGCATAGGATAAAGCAAAAATTTCGACGTTGATAAAGGCACTGACAGTAACAGATAAAGGTCTGCAGAGATTATCTTTTCATTTGTTTGTGGAAGTGTATTACGATATTCTTCACAGACACACCATGATTCTTGCATATTCGAAGTGTATTTTCAGACATTCAATATCTTATTTTTTTTATTTAAGAAAAAATATTTACGATACACTTCACTGAGGCACAATGTTCTTATCCGATTACATGTATATTAGTATATATTGAACATATTTTTTTTATGTTTTTGAAAGGATATTTACTGCATCCTTCACAGAGGCACCATGCTTCCTGCAGATTAAAAATGTAATATCAGATATTCAATAACTTCAATTTTTTTAGTTATGAGCCTATATTTAAGGTATTCCTCTGCTGGGGCAGCATGTTTTCTGCAGATTTCAGATATATGACCATATATTCAATATCTCTGCTAGATAGAGATTGAGTAATGGGAGCTTAATCCGATTTTACTGTGTTATTCATAGGTCGGCAGAGTAAACATTTCAGCAAAATATGATAAACTTTTAGTGAACTGTGTTCACATGCAGGGATTGAACTTGTGCAGTGATGTTATTTTAGATCTGCTCTGAAAATATTATCTTTAGAAATTTGCTATAATAGCGTAGAAAATAGACTTGGTCCTTTTTTAAGAAGGTAATTTATTGTACACAGCTCCGAAATGACTATTAAACTAGCATCACCACCCAGCTTTATTCTTCCTCTTTCAAATAGTATCACAATTGTTCATGTTGTCAGAGAAAAACTTTAGAAAACACCCGCAAGCTATCATCACTATTCATGTACATGCGAAACGGTATAGCGGATACGTGCATGCCTAGGCTTATTGTACATTCACTCTGTTTTCCCTTTCGTAGATGCAGAGAGGGGACCAAACGATTGCGCGCCTTGCAAAAGCTCGAGACAATTCACAATGGCCTCTTCGGTTATAGTGACTGCGAAATCTAGTATAATGTAACAACAGGAGCGGAAATCGACATAAAACTTTTGGAACACTAACAGGGACGCTGCTCAAAAGATATTGGAACGCCTCTCATTTTTTTGAACATGTGAATTTGTATTTTATTTCGTGATTATTCTTCTAAAAGCTTCAGGTTGCTCACATCCTTATCACCTTCCTTGTGCATCAGCTTTTTGAGACTTCGGAAAATGGCAATGCTTTCTTGTTTTCTAGAATATTAGAACACGTCGTCGGTTGAATGCGCATGATGACGGAAAACCTATTGCGCTGCTGTAGTTTCCTTAAACCAGCTAATAAGAAAGAAATAAGGGCCTACGTCAGCTTTTTTTGTTGTTCTTTAGCAACAATGTTAAATAGCAGATTTCCGACTTGACTGTCGTTGGCTGCCACAGTGGAGGGATGCCGTGCTGTGATTTCCTCACCTGACATCTAGCTAAAGAACACTGAGCAGTGGCACGGCCGACACGTGCTTCATGAGTCTTCGACTGCATATCGACATTCTATTCTTTGTTTACCATAGGACAGTGGTTCTCAACCACTGATCTATCGGGGAGGAGGGGGATAATAGACGATAACCATGACAAAATCGTAAATGAAGAAAACTCAATGCATGCAAGCAAACTTTGAAGCTTTGAAACATAGACTAATCAATCCTACTCTCTTGGTGCAGATGATGTAAGGCAGTCAGTATCAATTAAAAACCAAATATTGCTCGGTTCAGGGCTTTGGGGACCCTAAGAAGGCCTTCAGGGACCCCAGAGGGAGAGCGGCCACTCATTTGAGAACAACTGGCCTAGGACATATAGTTAAAGTAACGCCTCGAAAGTAACGGATTACTTTTGGCAGTAACGGTCACTTATTATTAAGAGGATATCGCAGCTCCCGAGCCCTATGCTATTCCAATGACAGCTTTCTAGAATTTTTCCTCGAAAACCACCGAATGGATTGACTTGGGAATGGTTTTATTAGAAAGATAATACAAAACTGAGTAATGTTGTGGAGCTACATTTTCCGATTTCTAAGCTTAACAATTTTTACCGGAACTTAAGATGCTTGAAAAAGTCTGTTTGTTTTTTCGTTCCGTTCTTCATAAACATTTAAAAATAAACCGGGACCTAAATACAAAATTTAGGCTCGACCACATTCAAGACCAGGACTTTTTTAATATATATCTTACAAGATGTTTTTTACGGAGATTCTCATTGTAAATTTTATCTAAGTTTGTAGCCTATCAGAACGTCAAAAACTCCAGCTGTCAGCTGGCGCCATCTATGAGTGTGTCTGCAAAACATGCTCTTGAAATCACGCAATGTGTTATTGCGCCCCGGACTACTTGCATCTTCAAGAACGTCGGGTTGACAGTTGGGATTTTGAGGAAAAGTGCCTCCCAAAAGAGATCGTTTTTTTTTTTTGGGGGGGGGGGGGGGAGGGGGTGGGGGGGAGCGAATATACTTTGCGGGTTATCGCGATACTGAGTAATAGGTTGTACATCGCCGGAGCGCGTCCTTGGGAGGATGTTTCGTTTTTTGTTAGTGTTTTGGGGTCGCACAAATGCAAGTAATAAGTTTGTTTTTTGTTTGTTTGTTTTTTTGGCGGCGAAGATATTTGGCGGGTGTTTAAGAGTCATTAGTTTTCAATCGCCGGAGTCCGTCATTGGGAGGATGTTCTATTTTTTGTTGGCGTTTTCGGTCAAGAAAATGGGAGTGAAAGATTTCACGCTTCAAGTGGTCCTTGCGTGAGGCCTGAAGTTAGTAAATGCAGGTAGATAAAAGCAAGCGAAGCGTCAAAGAGTAGATACTGTCTTACCACTTCTTTGTGTTCGAAGTAGGAGAGGTGATTTGATCTTTCGAGTTGAAATGTTCAGCAGAGACGCATTTAAAATGTTTACTTATTTTAAATGTGGAAGAAACATAGGTGAGTTCGTCGATTTTGTTTTAATTTTTCGACATTCGCTTTGCGTATCAACTTGGGGAGGCGAATTTCTACTAAAATAAAACAAACATTGCGAAAAAAAAATCAGTGAAACTAAAAACAGAAGAAGCTTTTTGGTAGTAGGCGTGACACGTTGCTATTTGGCAGTTGTGAAAGTCGCGCGGAACACTCATTGTTTGACCCGAACAAGCACACTATCTTGATTCAGTATTCTATGAAATAGAGGCGAATGTACTAGGCAAGAATCCGCACATCTTTTATTGTGGTGTTCGTCGATTGTACTGTCTTGGCTGCGATGAGCCCCAGGTCGGCTGTTACTGTTGGGCGGCGGACAAACAATCTCACCGGACAACGGGCGACGGAAAAAAGCTTACCGGAAAGAAGCTCACCAGTAAAATGCCCACTGCAAAACAGACAAATCAGGAGAAAAGCTCATTTACGAAATATGTTATTATTGTTTGCACTGCGGTGCTTATATTTAAAACTCACGCCCGCACTTTGCTCAGGGCTCATGCTGCACTTTTGCGTGTTCGTATATTTGTAAAACCAAGTGTTCTCGTTCAGCCCCAAAAGAATAGCTTGCTTTCTAAGAAAAATGAAAAAGAGGCAGACAAATCTAGTTTTGTGAAATGTGAACATGTAAAAAAGTGGGGAACACTTTTTTTTCTGCTAACTTTTACATGGAGACAGGACATTGCCTCAATGTTGAGTACCACAAAAAGCAACGATGTGAATTCCTTCTCTGCACCCGACGACTCCTGACATCCCAAAAAGCATCAAGTTCGTCTTAGGCCACATAACCGAAAGAGGTCATTGTTTACTACAAACAAAGGAAAAACGGAACATAATATTGCCGCGTGCGCAGCTAGCCAAGTAGGTAGCGCGCCCGTGGCCTAACGGTTACCGTCCTCGCCTTCCACGCAAATACCTGAGGCTCGATGCCTGGCCGCGGATACACCTTTTTATTGTTTCTGTATTGCCGCGTTCTGGTAAATTTGAGAACCCTGTTACTTATTCGAGGTTAAATGTTCTACGCGTTGAACCTTCTGGGCCGTTTGTTCCAGAAGCCCTCGCGTTCACAAAAGGGGCTCCGCGTGGAGAGCCGGAGTCAGTCCAGATCCTGCTGTTTCGCCGACATCGACGCCTGCGATGCCAACCTTCTATTTTGTTCGCCCCATTAAACGGTTAATTTTTTCAGTTATTCGTAACAGTATCTTTATTATTTTGGATGCAAAGAAAGGACACTACTTACAAAAACAAGAAACGATCTAGCCAGAAACAATGATGTTCGATAAAACGGCGTTCTACAAAACAGCTTCGGTGAAATTGGGTTCAATTATATGGCGTTCATTTAAATGACTTTGATAGAACAGAGTTCGATAAAATATTGAGAACTGGGAAGAAATAGTGTTAAAACGGTTTGTAAAGGTGGGCTTTTCTCCGCATCTGTCAAAAGTCTGGTGAGGTCATCTCCGCATTCGCCGGATTTCCGGCGAGCTTTTCTCCGCCGGTGAACAAAGCATTACCGAGAGGCTCACGGGAGAAAAGCTCACCAAAAAAAAGTTCACCGAAAAATTGACAGATGCTGAGATAAGCCCACTCAAGAATTATACGATCAAGCTTTTAAATTTAGTATTTGCGGCTCATTTCTGGGGGCTTTGTGGGGAACACCAACGGGGAAATACAGAATATTCGTATACTGCAGACACCAATAGGAATGAAGAAACAGAAGTTTACAGTTTTGCAGAATGGGAACAATTAACAGAGGGATGGACACGTCTTTTTCTATAAATACATTGCCTGAACGTTGAGTTCTATGAACAGTAACGAAGTGACCTCGTGATTGCACCCGACAACCACAGAGATCCCCCAAATTGAGTCAGGACCCATCACACCAAAAATCATAACTTACTACAAAAAAAAAAATACGGAAAATAATGTTTCTATTATTCATATACCAAAAGAATGCCATTTCTGAAAATTAAAATCGTAGGTGAGTTCCACCGCATTTATAAAGAGGCCGATGAGCTTTTCTCCGCGTCGGTCGGTCTTGCGGTGAAATTTTCTTCTATTAGCTTTTTCCGAAATTTGTGACTTCGGCATTGATCTGAACCTTTTTTCTATCAAAACCGCTAAAGATCGCACGGGCCTGAAACACGATGCCAGTTTTCAGCCATCACATTTTCATGAAGTGAGGCAACTAAGGTTCTGTTGCGCACTTCAGAAGAAGTGCGCAAAGTTCTGTTGCGAGAAGGTCACACGCACCTAAACCTGACATTTCACCGAACGCTGTTTCACTGATTGCGTCACAGGTTTCTGCAATAAAATTTGAAAATTTCGTATTGACTTCTCGTACGACAGACGCCTGGGTGGCACGACGGGGGACACGCCAGCATGGGGTGTACTCAAGCGGATGGATTCGGGTTCCACCACCTACCCCTCCACTAGCCCTGAATTTTTTGTTTTGTTTTGTTAGCAACGTCTTTTTGCCGGCTATTAGGATTCTTTGTTTAAGAATACCGGCCAATTGTTGCAATTGAACGTTTCGGTACGGGACGGCCACTTTTTGATGAAACGGCGTTCGATGAAATGTCCGGTTATTTTCCCGATTATTGCTTTGCTCGGCGACAACTCAAGCACAGCTTTGTACCCCTCCTTTTTATTTCCCCTAGAGAGAAATTGCCAAAACACGAAGAAGGTCAAGATTTCTCGATATGCCATATAACAATGCCTACCCTAGTCACAAGCCAGTAGACCCCCTCTAACAGACCGATCCCACCAAGCGTACGGCGCATGCGTGAATCCGACGAAACTTTAGTTCACAAGAAACAGGCGGCAGTGTCCGAGACGACTCGTGCCGTCTGGTGCTTTTCACGCGCAGAGTTCTAACGCGGTTCGGGCACGTGCTGAAATACTAAGGTTTCCACGATGCATTGAGGCAGCGGTGGCGTAGTCAAACTGGCTGGTGAGATGAGTCTGTTCTATTTGAGAATTGCGTTATCCCCAGCGCAAAGTGCGAGCACACAATGTTCGTCGTTTCGTCTCCCTTTCTTTGTAACAACCGCGCAGGATTGGGGAAACTTCAACTCCGACTGAGAGCCAAGCTGGAAGCCGTCCGCGTCAATATGGTGCCTTTATTAGCCGCGAGCACGAGGTTGAAATCAGTGTAAAGATTGGTTGCTCTATCCTCGTCGTGACGTCACGCGTAGAACAGCGGTTTTACCCCAGGGAGATTAGGATCGCACGAATAAAAATATAGGCAGTCTGACACTGCAGGCAAAAAATAAGGCAAATATTATCGTGGAATATACTATCAGCCAATATTAAATCGTTCCTGAGACGGCTAGGCAAAGAAATGATCTCGTCAGGTCACTGTAAACGAATCGGAACAGGTGATTATGGAAGGTATTGTTTTAATATTTTTTAAAGCATAGCTTTCTGACTCTAGAACTGAGCTTTGATCAGTACGTATTTAAGACGCAGCACTATCTAAACTTGTGGTTATTGATTTTTCGGGCATTTCGGCAGCACAACAGATTTAGTTCTGATTCCGTGCCATTTAGAGATAGCACAACAATTTAGAAATTGGGGGGACCTTTGAAATCCGGTGCTTTAGAAAACAAAAAGTGACTCTAATGGCTGCTGATGGTATCCTGAACTGGTTCATTTCGTTTCTTTTTTCAATCAAGGAGATCCGACACTTTTTACAGTGAGTAGCTTTATTTTTCAAAGCACTGCTTCGCGGGAATGAAAAGTAGGCTGAGGGGCCGCAGTTTAGTACGCAACGCCATTCTGACTTGCGGTAGATTATTTCGCAGCATTACGACACGACACATGGCATATTTCGTTTTGTAAAAACAATATGGCATATTTCATTTTTTTGTAATGACGATATGAACAGTCTACATCCTATTTAGAAATCGTATCATACGAGAAATCTTGGAACGCGAAATAGCTGAGGAACCGAGCCAAATGAATCCAAAGTATCAGGCAGCGAAATGAGGCTGTTTCAGTACCGAAGAGGTCTTGTGGGTGTCCTATTTTAAATCAGGCGATTAACGAAAAAAAACAAAACACAAACTGTATTTACACTAATAAATCAATTTATCATCATGACACAGAAGTGTCTCGATCGGCTTCTGTATGTCCCTCGCCTCGTTCCGCTCGTGTCGTTCCAATCTTCTAGTTTCTCGTCGTTTTCTCGTGAGCGTCAAATTTTTTTCAATCTGCAACAGAGGCGTTCCCTAAAGGCACAATTACATTGGCGTCACGGAGGCCTGCGGCGCGTCGGTTCGCGCTGTCGTTTGCCGACCCAAACCAGTTTTCGGCTTCAACGGCGCGACGTACGGCGCCGCAGAGTCAACCGCTCCCTGCACGGTTCAGAGCTCGGCGCCGCTTGCCGCAGAAGAGAGGAGCCAATGGGAGGTGGCGTAGATAGTGACGTCGCGATGCCATGGCAACGCTCAAGCCGGTCCTCGGCGCGTCTTTCACGTTCCGAAGGACGTGTTTCGTGCCGTCTGCTCTTCCTATTTCCCCCCGATGCCTTCCCCAACGGAGCGGTTCCTTGAAACTGTGCGACTGTTTCCCTTTTTATATGACAAGACGCAGCTAGACTACCTAGATAAGGACGCTAAGAACAACCGCTGGGAAATTATAGGAGAGGAATTCGGAATTACAAGTGAGTTTCTGTGTAGCACTTCGTTCATGTCGTCTGTGTTGTGACGGGTGTCGTGTTGATTTCGTGACACTTTCGAGAGTAGCCTTCATCTCCGGCGCGCCGCCGGGGCAGCAAAGCCCCGGCGGCGCGCCAGACCTGTCCTGTCCTTCGTTGTTTCAGTGGAACCAACTCGGCCGGACCCAAAACCTGCGCCTCCTTCCCTTCAGAGCGCGGCGATGTCGCAAGATCAACGAGCAGGCTAGGATAATCACATAGACGCTGATCACCAGGTCATTATGGACTCCTACCATGTAGGCAGCGAGTGCGGGACGGAAGAATGTAACGAAGAGCAGACGACGAAAGAGCGGGAAATCCGACGGGAGGCGCGATCGCGGGATCCAGTGCTGTCACGTGACGCCTGCAAAACGGAGGCCAATGTGGACTCCTCGCGTTAGGACGCCGGACGGCGGTGCCGCCCGGCGGCGCCGTTCACGCTAGTGTGGTCAGGCCTTAACCCCGCTTTTTTTTCTTCCTGATCCGGTAAGGATGGGACAAAGGGCCCCTTTCGCGATGACCTCGGAGGCCCACAAAGCCATTCTCGCAGCTCGCAGGGCGGAGGGACGGGATGGGTGGGTTAAAGGGGGGGGGGGGGGGGGGGGGGGCTTTCAGGGTAAAGCCGTCCGCTGATAACCGGAACAAAAAGACGAGCTTTTTCTTTATATCTATTTGGAACTAGCACTATATCGCGTAAGCAGTTGAGTGGAAGGGCTTCCTCCCCAGTGCCATCTGGATTCTAGAAAAGTTCCTATCGGAGATGAAATTCTACTGCTATATCCTCTTAAGGAAGAGTAATTGTAACAACAATTAGTTACAATGAAGCCTTGGGTAATCGTAAATGTAATTCATTCGCTTTTTAGTATCCTGTACAAATCTGATCACAACACGTCTTAATATCACATGGCGTCAGTGTCACACGACATCCCAATCATGTGATATCATGGTTTCACATAGCTTTAGGGCATCACGTGCTGCCAGTGTTATCTGACATGTGTTACACGTCGTCAGAAAGTAACGTGATGCCAGCGTAACATGACGTCAGTGTAACACACTGTTGCGATGTCATGTAACGTCGCATTGTGACATGAAGTCACAATGCCACTTGATGTTTCAATGTTACGTGAGGGCAAAGTAACACGAAGTCATTATAACAAGACATAATATCGCATGACGCCACAGTGTAACGTATGACACAATATCATATGATATTGTCTCATACGAACTTATGGCATCACCTGATGCCCGTGTCATGTGACATCACAGTCACATGACGTCAGAATTCCACGTGATGCCATTGTGACATGACATTAATGCTACACCCCGTCGTTCTATCATGTGACGCCACAGTGTGACGTGGTGCCACCACGTCATGTTAAGCCACAATGCGAATTGACGTCACAATGTTAAGTGATGCCAGTAATACGACGTCAGTGTCACAAGACGTCATTTCACGTGACACCAGTGTCACATGGCGTCCCAGTCATGTGATATCATGATGTCACTTGACTTTGAAGCATCACGTGATGCCGAAGTGTCACGTGACGCCTCAATGTTATGTAAATCACAATGCCATGTGAGGTCACAATGTCACGTGAAGTTACAATGTCACGTCATACTATCGCTCGACGTCACGTTGCACCGTGAAAATCACGCAGTAACATATTCCCACTAGCTCCAGCGAAAAAACGCCCGAGTTTGGCATGATTCAAAGCAATTTTGTGCCCAGCAGAGTCTGCAACAGTGACGAGAAATGTGCGGCAGTGTGGAGCAATTTGGAGCTATGTGCAACAATGTGCAGCAGTGCACTGTATTGCGGCTGTCGCCACACTTCATTTGCAGGACACGGCAAGGAACCGAGAACATTTTAACGTTGACAAAGCATTCTGGTCGTGCTTCAATTACCTGAAGTTGTGAATGACCGGAGCCACCCACATTGAACCAGAAGTCCATGCACAGGCTGCCTGGCGATCCAAAGGACACCACCTCGCTGACCAGCTCTGCTCTCTGTCCGTAAGCCCGGGCAAGGGCGCTCAGGAACATGTAAGACCCTTTGCAAAAATGACAGATCCGGAATGATCATATTGCCTCACCATATTTATTTATTACATTAGTCTTTCAGTGGTTACGCACACGTTTCTCATGCACGTTAAGTTTCAATGCTCTGATGCAATGCTACAGGCAGAAACAACGAACTATAGGCTGTCCAAAGTGGACATTCCGCTGTAAAGCAATCCGGAAAAATTGGCGCCTTCACATAAAAAGTTCAAACTTTCACCAAATGTGCACTGAGCAGGTCAGTTTTACCGTGTGAAATTTTAAGCCATAGTTCTCTTCCTGTAATAATTGAAAGCGAAAACCTTTTCAAAGTCAAGGCCCGGCGCGTTCACAGACGACTAAGTTGGCAACGCAAATTTACCTGTGGTCCCATCTCCTGATAGGCGAAGCGAGCAGACAACGGGTCGCCTGCTTTCTGCGCCTATCGGGAGATGGCGCCACAAGTAAATAGCGTCGCTAACTCGGTCGTCTACAAACGAGCCCTACCCTGACTTAGTCAAGTTTTTCATTCTCATTTTTTTTAAAAAGAGAACTGCGCCTTATTATCTCACACAGTAAACCTGGCCTGCCAGGTGCACAATTGGTGAAAGTTTGAGCGTTCTAACTGCAGGCATCGATTTTTCTGGCTCGTTTTCCTACGGAAGGTTCACTTGGGACACCCCATATAAATGGTGTTTTAGTGAGTTTGTGTGACAGAGGTCGACGTTTATAAAACAGGAGTTATGTGCACTAGATTTCTTTACGCCGCCTTCCTCGACCGACTGCACAAATATGAATGCTGCATCAGCGATGGGCCGGGGGCAAGTATTTGAATGGTGCTCTTCTGGATTAACACTTACTCAGTGTTTGATTCAGTCATCCAAGCCCTGCGTCAAAATCACAAATGAATAATTTGTGTTGTTGTTTTTCCCATGAGTATAGCCCCGTGTGATGCGCCAGCAACCGCGTCGCACTTGCGACGATGACGGTGTTATATCAGCCGCGCCCACAAAAAGAGATGCAGAATCGAAGCTCACTTCCGCAGTTTCTGCAGGGAGTAGCAGCAGATCTGGAAACAACGCTCGATCCCAGCGCTTAATCTCGGCGAAGAGCGCGACAAAAAAGCGAGCCGCCACGGCAGCCGCGTCATGGCGCTGATAGCATGGACGGTCGACGGTCCGGCGTTTACATTCATATCGCCGGCGGGTGTACAATTGCCTGTAATGTGACTGTGTACCATCTCGTGGAAAAGGTAGGTTACTTTATTTTGCCTCGTTTATTTATTATAGTGCCGAGCTACGAGTATTCACTACAGCTATATTTTAGAATGGTGAACAATTTTCCACAGTCCTGTGAAATTCGCTAATCAAGATCTAACTGTGTCATGCAGGGAGCACAGCCGCATGAATCAAGTTGTTTAGTATGAATGCCGCCTTATTGATTAGGATCATATGACCCGCTATTTATGCTACTCTTTTTCACACTATGCTCACAAAAGAGAGTTTCAGCACAAACTTCTTGAGCTCTATAATGCAGCATACCCTTTGTGCTGTTGCGGGTGTGGTCCGAGTGTGGATGTGCAAGAGATGTGCGAACAGATCCACTCTGTATCCTCCATGTAGCCGAGTTTCTAGTTCGCAAGGTGTTGGTCCAAGTGCAGGGTCCACGCTCAAAATCGCAGCTCAGTCCATTCTCTGAAATTCATTAATGAATTAATTAATTAAAACTAGCTACGCAAGTAAGCTCCAGCTGAGCATCAGTTTCCAAGAGTTAAAATGGTTCCCAGTAAAATATTGTATGCACTTAAAGGGGCACTGACACCCCAAAGGTCGTATTTATTTTTATTGTCTAAAATGATGCAAGTTCCAGTCATAAACACGCAAAAAAAAAACCGCATCGCGAAAAAAAATTTTCCCGCGCGCGCGCGCGCCTTTTTATTTTTGGCGTTTGATTTTCCCGCCTCTCGCCTCCTCGCTTCCTTTGATCGGTGACGTCAAAAATCATGAAATTTAGAAGCTTTGTAGGCGACATCTCTATAACATTTAATTACGGCAATCCTAAAACATGTTTTTTAACGCAATTGCGAACGCACTACGGCCCTTCTTTTTGAAATACCAAAAATCGGGAGTTCGTTGTGGTGCCGTCTCTTGGATTTGTATCCTCCAACGGAAAACAGGCGACACCGCTCAAAACCGGTCCGCCGCAGCGCCTGCGCTCGCTCCTTTCCTCCTCGCTTTGGGTCGCCATGGCAACAGCAGGGAGTGGTGAAAAAAAGTGGACTCTCAGGACTCCGCAATTTTTGACATCAAGGCACCGGCGCCGATCGCGCGGGAACTTCGAATTCGGCATTTGGAAATTGTTTTTTTACTTCACAAATACTGAATTCCCAAATTTCAAATTTTGAGGGTAATGTCCCGGCATCGTTTTCAATCGTTTCGTATAATAAAAAAAATTATTTTGATGTGTCAGTGCCCCTTTAATAAGCAAATTACTCACATATACATATATTCCACGGATAAAGCCTTGTTCATTCTCTGATATTCCCAAGGGAACAAAAAAATTTTAAGTTCTGTTCTCTGGTGAGGATATAAAATTCAAGCCGATATAACTAATGTTTTTATACGGTATTTTGTACCTTTTAACTAAAAATCAATTTTAGGTATATTTTTAGTACTACAGTATTTTATGCGAAGTAAATCTCATTAGCACATACTTCTCAAAGAAATGCTCAGTCCTTGAGTGCTAAGTAATATATTCAACTGTTATTGCACCGATTTCCGCCAATTGAAGTCTGGAAGGAATGAGAGGGCCGTACACAAATATATCGCTGAATAAGTATTTGTATTTGGAAAGTAAAAACGTCTCAATCAGACTACTTCCAAGCACATTTTACCCAATGTATTTTTACATTTCCTTATAGTTTAAGTCAATTGCCTAATATAAATACCTTACTCAACACTGCACTTGTATAAGGCTGTGTGAAGGGCAGTGACCAATATACTTTTGGGATATGCAAAAAGCAGTGACCGAGCTGTACTTGTTACATTCCTTGCACTATAAAATCTGCCAGTCACATTCTGTAGTTTACATCAATTATGTGATACATATACTTTACTCAACACAGCATTGTGATTGAAATGTTCGAAGGGTAGGGGCCGATAAACGTTTGGAACGTAAAAAAAAATCGTGACCATTGTAATTGTTACTTTACTTTTAGAAGAAAACCTACTCGACATATTTTCTAGTTTACACCAATTCTCCAATACACATACTTTACCCAACACTGGATTTTACTAGGAATGCACTAAGGGTAATGACTGATGTACTTTGGAATGTACGAAGAACATGTGGCCCATGTTCCTTTCACTTACAGGATATCTATGGGTCATAATTTATAGCTTACTTCATTTACCTAACAGACATCGATTCCTTTAACACTGCATTTCAGTTTAAATGTCTAAATCTGAATACATACGGTAGGAAGGGCAGTGACCGAGGCTAAGGACAAGATCGTCGACAGCAATCAAACTGCTGTTCAGCGAGGCATCCAGGAACACTCTCTCGGGAGGCTGCAATATAAGAATGACGCTACTGCTAATTTTGCGAGAAGGAAAATAAAGCAGCCTATTGCACACATGGCTTCATTATATTAAAAAAATAATAATGCTTAACGAAGATTTAAAGTATAGGATTATCACATATCTGTGTTCTCGCAACACCAGCCCTGTGCCTGTTGCACGTGTGGTAACTTTAGCGCAAACCACACGTCCCCATCTAACCCGAATCTTTTGTTTTTGTATTTACTAATTTAGTGGTTTCTAAAGATGTTCAGCAAGTTTTCAGTTGGATCCGTTTACTTAATTTCACTAATTAAAAAGTTAACTAACAATTCTAGTGAGTTACCTGACTTGTCGTGACGGTTACCCTCCCACGTTATGTCCTACTGACCGTGTAGCTCACCCGCACCAACCAGATTAGTGTAGCTTTCACGGCGTTTCAAGAAACAATCTGTTGAATCTAAAATAACACCATGTACATGTCGACAAAGACATCTAACAGTCAACTTTCATAAAGAATATTAAAGCGTTCTTACACTATTTACAAAGCATTTTACATTCCCCACACATCCCGTGAAGAAAACTCTTACCCCATTTTTGAGATCTTGAAGTTGCAGCAAGATCACTTGATGACTCCAGGACTTCTTCAGTTCACCGTTACTCGACCAGAAAACGTCTCCAGAGGCAGAGGTCACCATCAATGTAACGCTGAAAGCACCGTAATTTATGAGCCGGTCACTCTTGATGTCTCTAAAATGAATTCTGCAGGAATTTTTTGATTGTCCGATCTAAAATGTAGAGTCGTCTCCAGAGTCCCACGTAAAGAGCAAGCGTCGTGTCGAAGCTGAGAGACGAGCCAAAACAAATTAAAAGCTGAAGAAAAATTGCAGGACACTTAAGCTTCGCCTTTAAGAATGAAACGCGATGGCTAAATATAAACCCCCGCTTGTTCCCAAGCAGCGTCGCCTAGTCGATAGCCTGTCTGTATCGGAACCGAAGGGTCGTGTGTTTGATACCGGTCCGCCTACAATTCTTCGAATTTTTCTTTAAGGCAAATTAATTACTAATCGGCAGATAAGAACGTTCTCGTCCCGCCGACACCGACGGTGGCTTTTCTGCAATACACAGTTATTGGTTTAAAAATTGTGCCGAAATCGCTGCTGCCGGTACGCGGTTTCTCGACGAAATGGAAAAGCATTTAGAGCAGGGGTCTCGACTCAGCAAAGGATGGATAATTCAGCCTCGCAACGGTCTGCCTTCGGAGAGCCAATCTGGTTTCTGGGGTGGGTGACGGCGGTTTCACGGAAACGGCGTCGTCGCTGCGTAACTGTGGTCGCGTACACCGTGCATACAGGGAAAACGAAACCACACTGCCGTCGTAAGACGAGTGCGCGTCGACAGCGGCGCGCCAGTGGAAGCGTGCGAGAAAACTCTTTCCCCCTTACGTAAGAGCGAAAGTGGTTGGGAAGAGCATATGAACTGAGCAAAAAATCAATGTCGGGTGTCGGGCGAGTCGGTGGTGGAACTTTGAGAACATGGTAAACGCCTTTTGACACGGACGAGAGGGGGAAACAGGACAACAACAAAAGAGCCAGGACGGAACCAGACAATAAATTCTAACGTTTTTAATAAACCGTGCATTTCACAACTCGCAGTCTCCGCCTAAATGTAGCACTATGGGTTTGGATCAGAAGCCAAAGTTTCAGTGCTTGCCCTCATCTTACTAAAGCAATTCAGTTAGTTTTGGAATCTTTCGATGGGAGAGTGAGACCCGCTCCCGGTAGCAGGCGTTATTTGTCTCCGTGTGTATGTAGACTTTGTTCGAAACCATTTTCTCTATTAAAAACTTCCGAAAATCACTCGTATCTTTCGAAAACCGAGACTGAGTGTTCGGCAATGAATAGTCTATCTTTGCGGTGAAAAAAAATATTGTAAATTGTTTGCATGGACAACGAAGGCAAAGTAGTTTTTCAACAAAAAAAAGACGGACAATATTCCAGCAGCGATTCTTCAGTATTGTATCCTTAGCCATTTTGCAATGTTTCTCCTAGGCACATGACAGCACAGCAGAAAGGCAGACATATGGTAAATGGCACACCTGTTGCGACGTTTCTGAATCACGGTCAGGAACTCTGGAATCTATACCGGAGTTTACTTTTTTTTTTAACCAGAAGAACCGCTAGCTTGCTTTCGTAACAACTTTGGCCCTTTAAAAACAACCTACTCACTCTCACTCTGATACCTTTGTTCTTATGCAGAAACTTACTCCGATACCTTTGTTCTTATGCAGAAACTGCATAGCTCATGCAAATGAAGTGAAACTAACCCCTTCTTTTAAAAACCTCTAATGACCTAATAACTACTTAATCTAGCTACTACTTTGATAACTACTTTGTCTTTAAAAAAATGAACACAGAAATGCACTTAAACCTTCCCTTCAAAGTTTTCGTTTTTCAAAATTAAAGAGAGTCCAGAAACCACATAAATATTAGAAAAAAATGTAGAGGAAAAAACGATGCAAAAATTGATCATAAATGAATTCATATAACTGTAGCATGTTGCAGGTTACCAACAGCAGGACAAACTCCTAAAAAGTCCTCCTCCTTTCCACTTTAGCAGAGCAAACGCTGGAAAGGAGGCGAGAGGAAAGGGGAAAGGCGCCAATCATGGTCAGCAAAGAGCTTTGAGGGTGGGAGTTTTCTTTCCGCTCTTAAATTGAAACAGGCTGTAGGAAATGTATGCCCACCTGGTCGTGATATCCTTAACCACAGTATAGTGCCAAAATGAAAAGCAGGCAACTTCATTCCAGCTCGAATCCAAGAGAGGACTGGAGAGTCTCGCCTTGGCAACTTCCCGCGCCTTGTTTTCGGCATATACAAAGCCACCTGAAAGTCGTAATTTAAGTTCATGACTAACAAAATTCATAATTTAAACTGATACTGAGCCGAAATTAGTATTTCGCCAAATAAGGCCGCAGAAGTGTGGAGATCCAAAACATCGCTCATATATTGATATCTCAAATAGATGGCCGTATTTTTAAAAAAGGGCGCGATCGAGCAAGGACTATGACATCACGATCCCCCTGGAGCAGGTAAGAATGAGGGGAAGCGGCCTCGCTTCTCTCCTTCTCGCTTCGGCTCACCTGTTCTAGCGGACGAGGTGAAGAGGAGAATCACTGACAATCGCGACGTGAGATAACTCGTCAGCTTCTTCAGCCATGTTCAATCGCGCACTTCTTTTCCAAAAATACAGCATATCCGTTAGAGATATCGATGCATTAGTGATGGTTTTGAGTTTGGCGGCCTGCCTTGTTTTGTGAGCTCCGAATTTCGGTTCAGCATCCTTTTAAGTTAATTATGAACGCAATTCACGGTTTCGATTCAAATCAATTTCATTGACTCTAGTGGTGGAAAAAGAAACCGATATAAAGCTACGCACTGTAGAATTACAAGTTCTTACTCCCTATAAAGATGTGACGGTATTGTCAACACATTAATCAATTATAATCAAACAAAGTCATACACAAAATAAACTACACTTCAAAAAAGTCAACGAAGGACAGTTGCAAACATCTGCAACAAAAGTTTAAGAACATCCATATGATGATGTTTTGGATGATGATAAATTAATGTCTAATGCAATTTATTATTAACTAATCACAGTGGAGTGCGACACTAACCGTCAGCTTGCGGCTGTGGTACGCAAAGAAATTGCGAAGTAATTTATGAAGAAATAAATTAGAGCGACCAGAGTGCTCTCGGTTAAATCGAGATAAGTTGCTTACAACATCAAGTGTGACGGAGCTGCATCATTAGTTTATCGCGTCCATGCTCCCTTCAATAACAGGATTCCTCCATCACAAACTTAATCCTTAGAGTCTAAGGAATTTTCCAATCGTTAAATTTTAGACCATAGTATACATTTTACTCGTTGAACATTCCTGCAACAACGTGAAAATTTGTGTATCACTTTTTGTTATTCTTGTTGATAAGTGCGTTAACATGGAGTACAAAGCCAAATCATTCAGTGACGAGGCTTCAAACTGCATGGTACCATATCTTTTGTGACTGAAAGAATTAGCATTTAAAAACTACGTTGAAAATTTTTAGGTAAACTTGCCTGCTTTAATTGTTAAAAGCACTTGTAAAGTAGCTGCACGAGAGCATAGCCCATCACAGGAAAAGGAGAACTGACATAAAAAAACAAGCACTAACATTTTTATGTTATTTCACAAGATAATCAATCAGCGCAAAGATTATAATCAACCATGATTGAATCCACTACTTTGCTTTGTCGCTGAAATAGGAACCTCGCGCTGAAGCCCACATTTGATAGCTTTATTTTCCGGCTAAACACAGCATTTTTTCAATTAACAAAATAATTACAACGAAGACAATCTGAGACAAAGCCGAAGTGCAACTTTTCTCTAAAAAACAAGGCAAATTAAAAAGAATTTAAAAACTTAATGCGGGCTAGTTTTGCATTATCGTTTTAATAATGAGGATACACAGAAAGTGTGGACCTTATCTTTCGAATACACTGCCTTGAGTTTCGTGCTTCAGAAAGTAAAAACACGCAAAATAATTAATGCGGAGCACAAGTTCGTCTGCATCTTCTGCATGTGTTGTGGTGACGTCAGAGCACCGAGCTCTGATTGGCTCTGATTGAAGGAGAGTGGGTAGACCTCGAGGCAGCCGTCATTAAGGTCTACCCATATCCTTCCAATCAGAGCCAATCAAATCTCGGCGTTCTGACGTCACAATAGTCCCTGCAAAAGAAGAATACGAACTTGCGCGCCGCATTGTTTGCATGCATCGCAGTGCTAAACCATTGGGTCATGTGACGTCAGGGTCTGAAAAACACTTTAGACCAAGTAAGAGTAAATGTCATGATGTAACAGGGCAAAGTAAATCACACAAACTGAAACACAGAAGGAGAAACACAAGTTTTGTTTTTTGTCCCTCTGTGTGTTGGTTTGTGTGAATGCTCTTGCGCTGTTACCGCCGTTAAACAAGCCCACACAGGAAACGACAAACACAGCGCGTGTGTTTCTCCTTCTCTCTGTTGGTTTGTGTGATTGATCTTGCGCTGTTGCCTTAAAGGGGCCCTGCAATCATATTTAAGCGTCTACCTTTTTTTGTGGTTTCCACGTCTCCTGGGGTTCGGGGAAGCCAGCGGGCACGGAAAGCGTAATTAAATATCAGTGCGTCCTATTCAAACCGGACGACGCGAAAACCTCCTCCACCTACGGGGGCGACCCGCAGTGAAGAAAGCGCGCAATTTGTGACGAAATTACGACGTTTTAGGTCCTGGCTTTTCTATGGTCAGAGCCACTAAAAGCTTCTTTTTAGTCGAAATACAAAATGTTAGTGCGCGAGCCGTTTCAATTATTTATAGAAGTAGTTTTTGTTCAGTATCTTAGATCAGAAAAGAAACAAATACAGTTAAGAAAGTACGGAAACAAGATATGACCCGTCAACATACCCTCCAGCAAGCAGTAGAAAAAACGGCGCATATAAGAAAAGTATAGTGGGATCAGGCTCCGACGAGCGGCGAGCGTAGAAAGGCGCTGCAGTCGAGGATCCGACCGGTTTCGAGCGTTCCGAAGGCCTTCGGCGAGCAGCTTTGGCTTGCGGTTTGGCCCTTTGGCGGTATGGCAGCGCGAAGTGGCTCCCGTTCTGAACCGATCTTTGCCCCGTGTTTGCTGTCGTTAGTGGCCAATGAAGTGTCATGCCAAATTAGTGTTTAATCGCGCAGCAAATGCAATGCCAGCCGCCCTGGCTGCCCCCTTCATACAGCCTATCCAGAACATGCTTCAGTGGCGCCCTCTCGAGCCGTCGACATGGAGCGCGGCAGTCATGAGCGCTCGCTGAGCTCACAACCCCTCTTCTAGTTCACGGCCACTCAAGCAACCAAGGACGTCACGAAGGAGCTTATTTTTTGCTTATTTTTTGTCATTTTCATTTGCCTACAAGTTTTAAAATAAAGCAAAATTTGAGAAAAGAAAAGTTTCATTAGGTTACTATGTTCAGTGCGCTCAGGTTCGGTGCAAATTAAAAACCAGTAAAAAGACAATGGTACTCAAAAGGTGGTCCGCGGAGCTTTGGGGTTCGTAAAGGCATTCTATGGTGTCCGCGAAGCCCTGCCTCTTTAGTGAAACCCAGCAATAAAACTCGTCTTTTTTTTCAGATAGAGAAGACATTTTTCAATTTTCGGGCAAGTCTTCTTGTGTGCGTGTCAATAAGAGAAGTCTACTTCACACTAGCACTTAGTTATATCCATTTTAGAGCGCAGCTCTTAGGCGCCCGCTTCCGGGTTGAGCGGCGTCGCCGTCGCTGTCCGCGTAACCGCGCGGTATATTATGAAAATGTCCCATATTGCACCGCGCGGGACCCTCGTGACATCACGTGTCACATGACGAGGGTCCCGCGCGATGCATTATGGGACATTTCCCACGATGCACCGCGCGTTGAGGAGGAGGGGGAGGAGGACGAGGGGGAGAGGAGGGGAGGGTGAGGAGGAGGACGAGGGGGAGGAGAGGGGAGGAGGAGTCGGGACGATGAGAGAGGAAGATAAGAGGGGGAGGAGGCGAGGATCACGGAGGAGAAGATGAGAAACGAGGAGGAGAGGATAGGGATAAGGTCGAGGGGCATACCGTACCCTCCGTACCCTCCCCTCCTCTTCAAGAGCTGCGCTCTAGTCCGGCATTACCGGATTATATTTAACCTATACCTTTTCTCTCCCCTCACCACGTACGGGGTCCTCCATCATCTCCGCTGATCCACAAGGGTGGATGGATGAATGGATGGTAATGGCTATACCCCTTGCAACGGGCGGCAGCTTGCGCCGCCTAGCCTAACATTTCGTCATCCTTTCTTTTTAAATTTGCATGAATTTTGTTATAACAGACACCCCCTCCCCTTTTTAAAGTGATTCCTTCGCTCATTTTTATCTGTATTTTTTATCCTTCCCTAAATCCTCTTCGTCCAATCTTCCAATCTCCTCTTAGTTACCGCCATTCTTTCCCTATCTATTTGTCCATCCATGTCCGAAAAACCCAGTGCCTCCTCCAAATACGTAATCACCCCCCCCCCCCCCCCCCACGAGAGAATGGGATGAATCCCCGTGAACCTTATAATTACATGTTCTATAGTTTCCCTTTCGCGGTTGCATACGTCCCGCAGAGTGTATACTTCCTGGAATTTAGCCCTATACGTTTTCGTTCTTAGCACCCCCGTTCTAGCTTCATACTGCCAAACAGCCTCCCACTGAATAATCATACAGCTGTTCCTTCTTTATTTCTTGTTTTTGTATTCTGCATATCGTTAAAGCTGATTTCCCCTGCATTCCCTCTTCCCACTATTTCCTCTCTTTCCTTTACTCTCTTTTCTACTGATATGCCCTGACCGGCTCCATCTCGTTGAATGCATTTAAATCTCAGCTTGCGGGTTCGGTTTGTCCACTCAGTGTTTAAACTTTTCACATACAGATACTTGTACACTTTCGCTTCCCACCGCATATTTTAAATTTCAGCTAGTCTTTGTTCAAATTTTACTTTACTGATCGCTTCTCTACTCTCGAAAAAAGCCCAACCTATAGCCCCCTGTACTCCCTCATTTAGTGCATTCCCATGTGCCCCCAATGCCAACCTACCTACACTCCTCTGCTTCATCTCTAAACCTGCCTGGATTTCTAACCTCATTCACAATACCGCATTCCCAAATGACCGACCTGGCACCATGAGTCCCTTCCATACACCCCTAACGACTTCATATCTACTATAGTTCCATAGCGTCCTGTGTTTCATGATAGCTGAATCTCGTTTCTCCTTCTTTATTACAATATCTTCATGGTCTTTTAGGTACCGCCTTCCTTCACTTAACCATGCTCCCAGATATTTGTACTTTTCTACGTGTTCTATCAATGTGCCCTGTATCTCAAGGGGTTCCCACTTCTCGTCGTTGAAAACTATTATACCCGACTTGTCCATACTAAATTTTAGTCCTAAATTGTCCCCTTCCCTGCTTCAAGTCCTAATGAGTTCCTGTATTGTCTCACGACTTTCTGATACGAGTACAATGTCGTCTGCATACATTAACCCTGGCAATACTTGATTTACTTTATGTCATTCCTCCATGTAAGTCAGGTCAAAACCTAGGTTGCACTGTTCTAACCTTTCTTCTTTTTTTTATCTCACTGAGGTATATCATAAAGAGCAGGGGAGACAATGGGCAACCCTGTCGGAGACCTCTTTTTATTGCTGCTGGTCTTGTAGTTTCGGCTTCCCATGTTATAACCACCGTATTCTCCGTATAAACCCGTTCTAGGAAATTAACCATGGTTCCCTCTCGTCCATATCCCTTCAGTTGGTTCCAGAGTTGTTCCTGATTCCCACTGTCATATGCCCCTTTGATGTCTGAAAATGCTACCCATAATGGCCTTTGACTTGTCATTGCTATCTCTATGCATTGGGTGATTAGGAATAAATTATCATCTAGTCGTCTATCTTTCCTGACACCGTTTTGAAGCTCCCCCAAAATCTGCTTTTTCCCTGCCCATTCTTCAATTCTTTTTACAATTTGCATAGCTAGTCTCTATATATATGAAGTTACTGTGATTGGTCTGTATGATTTCATACAGTCTTGGTGTCCCTTGCCCTTATATAATAATCTCATTCTGCTAAATTTCCAGTCACTCGGTACCTCCCCTCCTATAAGTATCTGGTCAATCACCTGCCTTAATTTCAATTTGCTTGTTTGGCCTAGAACTTTTATCAGTCGCATTGGTAGGCCGTCTGGACCTGTCGCAGTTCCAACCAAAACCCTTCCTTCTGCTTTCTCCCATTCCCCTATGGTCATTTCTTCTTCTTCACTATGATCCTCCTCTTGTGTTCTCTACGGCCTGATCTAGTTCTAACTCCGAAAATGCTGCTTCGATTGTATGTCTAATGTATTCTCTTGCCTCTACCCCCTCTACCTTTGTCCCTTCCTGTGTGGTTAGTGTCTCCTGGCACCCCTCGGTCTTTCTTCCCCGTGCACTGATGTGTTCCTAGAACCTTTTTGCCGCATTCCTATCCTTTTGGTTTATCTTTATCATCCAGAAGACCCCTGCCCTCCCAATTTCGGCCTGTATTAATGCTGATGCCTCCCGCTTTCGTTACTGAAAGTCCTCCCATTTCGATGTCGCTTCGGCTGGTGTGGCCCCCTTATTTTTTGCCCATCTGTGTTCTTTAGATGCCGCTTGGCGTCTCGATATTGCTGCCTTAACCTGTTTATCCCACCAGCTTTTGGGCTTGCGTTTTAGTTTTCTTCCTCCTTGTTTGGTTCGATATTTCTCTAACTCTCTTTCGCAAACACTAATTAAGTCTTCATATATCCATTCTCTTTCCTGTTGCTTGGATACTATGTTCTCGATTCGCTTAGATACCTCCTGTAGTTGTTTATCATTTAAGTTATTCCTACCCTCTCGTTTTTGATTTTGCATTTCTGGTTTTACTTTGCCAAATCTGATCTCGATTCTCTTACGGTCGCTCCCCAGACTTTTTGTGCCTTCCTCATCTATTTCCATACCTCCTAATCTGTTGTATATCTTATGCGACATTAAACAGTAGTCAATAGTCGAGTGCGAGTTCTTTCTTTCCCATGTTATTTTTCCATCGCATTTCACCTGAGCTTAAACTAATACCAGATCAAGAGCTTCGCAGAACTCCTCTAACATCCTCCCAGTTGTATCCTGGGGTCCGCGAAACATCGACGGTTGAGAACGACTGCCTTAAGGTATAAGTCACCAACTTGTTCAAGGCTCCACTTTATCAAGGTTTAAATGTTAAACCACAAGGCAGCATGGGGTCACGACAAGTAAACAGTTTGACGCCACTTAATAGTGTAGTTTTATGCAACGTGGTGACGTGACACCACGTCATGTGACCAGTCATTCCTTGACGCGAGTCCCGTAGTCACGTGATCGCATGACCCACAATGGAACCAAACACACAGCCCGTTGACGCTACAGTCGACGGGAAATTAGAGTGCTAAATTTAGCTAATGACAGCTCGGTATGGCTACGGCTACGGCGACGCAGCTATATCCTAACATTGCTTCTATTAAAACGCCTTCTGCATTAATAATGCTACGGTGCATGGGATCCGCCTTGCCTGGTGTGTTCACCGCGTTCTAAAAAGTGGTACCTTGATTTCCGGCCGATGACGTCATACAAGTGACATGTTGTCGTCGGCCGCGATCCTGGCGGCGTGACAGCCGCGGTGATGGATGTGGCAGAGACCTGTTCTACAGCAGGTCACCTACTAGCTAGACAGTCCACGGAAGATTTGACAGTCAGGAATCGGGACCCCGCGCCAACAGCGACACTCGCGTTCGCTTGTACTTGTTCAAGTACTTTTAGTACCAACAGCCAGAAATGCAACATCCGACAACATGACACTCCGGTTTTTGTGACGTCATTTGTTGCCACTTTCAGACCGCTTTTGATGTATGGGCGGGATGGGACGCTAGACACATTAGTCTAAATAGGCGTTCTATGCACCGTAATAATGGCGAATACAGACCTAGGGGCGAGCCAGTGGTTCGGTCTTTTCTTAGTGCCAATGGCCGTCCACTGGCCAGGTCACTGAGGGTCCAGCGGATGAGCCCCGGCTCACTGCTCGACTCCCAGCCGCACATAGATCCGTTGTCAAAGTTGCAGCCAAACTGCTGTCCTGCGGATTGCCAAGGAAAACGTGATATCTCATGAGCTCGTTAGAAAAACTAAGATTAAAAAATATTATTAAATTCGAGAGTTCGACGAGTGTGTTGGTATAAATAATCGCTAGACAAGATTTTCTGAAAGAATTGCTGCTGGAATCAGAGCACAAATTGTAGTCGTAATGCGATGGCATTTTGCACAGTCTTGTACCGCATAAAGGTTTCTTTGTTGAACTGCCCAAGAACTTTGCGAAACATTCCAAATGTATGGTGTTGCTTTTTTTTTTTTTTTTTGTTTAAGTGTTTTCTCAAAATTAAAGCCAATTCGAATATTTTTAGATTTGACTACTTCCTGCGGATGGGCCTCCGGCAATCAATTTTTAGGTTTGTGTTGCATCATTACTGCAATTCAATCGTGTCCAACTTGCTGCAGAGATATAAGCATAACATTTAAACTGTTGTGTCTCGCTACTATGGACGCCTCTATTCCCCCAAAAACGTCGTCCATATTAACGAATCGTTCAAAGCTCAAAACGCACAAATCAACAAGCGTAAAAGGACTTCCCCGTTCCCCCTTTCTTCGAGCATTTGGAGAAGAGGGCAAGGAGGAACTCATATCTAAACCCCCCCCCCCCCTTGTCTGTTCCAGACGTCGCTTTGTCCCCCCGTGGCCTCCGCTGTTTGCCAAGTTACGTGACGGCCTCGAATGCGCAGTGCACACTACACAGAGGCTTACGTGTTTCGTCAGTTTGACATCAAAAGCCAGGCGTGCGGGGAAGTCAAGAAAGTTTTGACAATGTAAACCCACAACAGAATGGCAGGTTAACGCCGCGTAAAAACACCCTATAGGAGAAATTAGCTTCGTCGGTCTAGAGCCTCTCTTTTGTTCCCCAGTGACGAGGTCTGCAGTGAGGTGACCTACATGCTTTATGGTAAATTCTTCTATGTTCCCGGTTGTATAACACACAGGTTCTCAAGCAACAAAAGACTAAAAGAGGAAACAGCCCATTTTACGCATATGATAAAACAAAACAAGGCCCGCAACGAACGTCCAGATGCACACTGACACATCTTGCGTTCACTGATATCTCAGGGAAGTTTTTTTTTACCTTTTTCTTTAAGCAGGAGCACTAAGGACCCATAATAACAAGGCACAAATGTCTGTATTTACCTAATTCTTCCCATAAACAGCGGTTCATATTCCGAACTGGAGATTTCTATATTAACGGACCAGAATTGCAGAGCGAAAGATTGGTCTCCGAAGATTTCGTCCTTATTAACAATGACCGTATATATTATACTTAACTGCGTAGGGATAGTAAGACACTCAGTAGCAGCATCTGCCATTCACAAGCTAATATAAATCATGTAACATTCGTTAGGCCCCTCACTGCAGTTTGCAGTTAATTTAGATGTAAAAAAAAACATGCGCCGCCTGCTCCTTGGTTACAAACCAAGCCATGGACGCACATCTCTGTTTGGCTTGCTCATGTATGCTATCGCATTTAAAATAAAAAAGAGGTCAGGGAGGCACATGCGTTATGCTTACAACAACAATAACACTCTACAATAATGTGGCCGCAAAACGAAAGTGCACGCCTCTTGCGTCTTCATTTAAAACTTTCATCTCTTGGATGATCGAATTGAAAAATGTCGTCATTCTACACGTCGATTAACTAGTGGAGGACACGAAGACAGCATGCCACAAGTTCCTGATTAAACCGTAAAATTAAGCCGTAAAACATACACATTGCACGCTGCAAAGACCTGAAAAAGAAACAGGAAATAAAAAGTACATCTATACCTTCGACACTGCAATCAGAGACTTCGATATCGTCGATGGCACAGAAGAATGAAACCTTGATGGGCGTGTCCAGGAAGCAGCGAAAATTCAACTGAAAGCAGATTCGAAAAAAAAAATATTTTGTGACTTACTAACTGATGGCTGATAACAGACGCCAAACCCTAATTTTTTCATGTTTGTGAAAAACACAGGTAGCGTATTGAACAGACAAGGACGTTGACACGAAGACCGGAACAGCACTAACTTACAACCGTCGGTTAAATGCACTGTGTGTGTTCATCGTGCTTTACCGACACGCCGACCTTGATATTTTAGTCAAGGTATGTGCATTCATGGAGCGTGGGAAGCGGCTTGAAGAGTGTATAAGAGATATATGGCAGAGTGCCCATTAGATGCCTACTACGCAACACTGAGCATGTTTCACACACCCACAATTCAGAGCACATCGTATTTTGTGGTACATTTTCCGGAAGTCAGTTTTCATTAGTAGGTAAATTTTGTAAATTGCAATCATTAACTAGGTGGAGAGTCTGATGAAGACACGGGGCATGGTTATATACACTGAGCAAAATATTTAACTAAATTTTCCCTCCATTTTAAGCGCAGAAACACCAGCCGAGACCTTTGGTAAAAGTGAGTTTGAGGGTGGTGGTTTTGTTTATGGCAGGACTCAATTTCACCTTGGTTTAACTCCCGGAATGTAAAGCTAGGACTGTGCAAATATTCAAACTTTGTAAGCGTAGTTCCGGATGATACGCTATTCGATATTTGCTTCGAGAAGAACTGCGATATTTGTACTTTTCGAAGTGTTTAATGCAGTAGATTAGCCCTCTTCAGCGCACTTCTTGCCAAGCACCGGTGCACTGCGGAGAAGCGGCATCTGCAGAGCTCACTTTTGTAAGTGTTGCTTCTCCGCAGTACATCGCTGTTAACTAAGAAGCCTGATCAACGGGGTAACCCCATGCAATCAACGCATTGAAAAGTATGAATATCGAAGTCGTGCACGAAAAAAGCACTTAGTGAGATGATGCACGCATGAGCCTTGTGTATTTAATGAGGAACAGGAACTACGTGAATTTGATAGTTACATTGTATTAAAAGGTTCAAAATGAAACTGTGGCTGTTATGCGAGAATATGTAAGGCAGAGGAGCCCTGGTAACCTGCATTCATGATGAGTGATTGTCTTTTTTTTTAATTCAAGATTGAAGTAACGGTATTTGTATATAGAATGGTTTATAAATACATTTGATTAGGCTGAGCAGGATTTACATAAAATTCATGGTTCGTTGCTATTCCTAGGTAGGCATGGACTACCCCAAGGCATGGACTACCCCACGAGTATAGTTAGATTAAAATTAATCTAGCATAGGGGTGGACAAATAGAAGCTTGTGAACAACCTTCTTGAGATCGGTTGTTGTTTTGTTCACTTAAGCATGGTGAAAGGCTCTCAGAGACTGTTTCATATTAGATTACACAATATTCGGCCAAAACCACAATTCGCTTCGAAATCGGCGCAATCTCGAAATTCCCTATTCATACATGCTAAATAAGAAACAAACAAAAAAAGACTTATTTTTTGTTTGCTTCGTCGACTTTTCCGTCTTTCGTTTCCTAGCACAGTCTCAGGTTGACGCTCAAAATGTGTTTCATTAAGGTTGGCTGAGTCCCAATTTTCAATTGAGCAACCTGAGACTAGCTATCAAATTCATTTTTTAGCTCATCAGCAGTGATGTCAAATATAAGCATCTTGTGTGCTAGTCACTGGAAGGGTGAGAACGTCAAAGAGGAGCTTCAGTTGTCCCACCTCCAGCGCGAGCTTCCTGCCTTCGAGAACACCTCGACACCTCATGCACCTCGTCCGCGCCCACGTAGCCAAAGCACGGCGGAAGGCGTGGAGCGCGTGCTGGTGGCCGGGCACTCGAAAAACACGCCCTACCATTCTCGCTCGTCACTGACTATGCAAAAAGCCCACACCCTCCCCTATCAAAAAAAAATTAACAACCGCAAAAAATATGCACTCAAAATGCCTTTATTTTCATCAGCAAGTTATGAAAAAAGCTAAGCGCCTTAGGTTCATCGACTACAGCACAGCTCAAGTAAAGTCCGGCTTCAGCCGAAATGACACCGAGCCGAAGTCGTGCACAAGATTTGTGAAGATAACTAAAAGCCTTGTGTGAAACGATGTCCCGAGGAAGGTTCAATGGCAATTACGGGACAGAAGTTCTCGAGCTCTTTCATCTCGAGGAAACCCTTTCTGCCCTGAACGCCAGGCGAGGTACCCGTCTCGGTCTTGCTGTCGACCCAAGAGAGCGAAGCGACCGCTTATAGAGCTTGTAAGCAGTAATGTACATATTAAGGAGTGTCTGGCCCATAGTTACGCGTCACAGGGTGGCTAAGGACTGCTAAAATTATGTCTAACATGGAAAAAACCGCTTTGCTTAGGAGAGCGACAGTCAAAAAGAATTGGGCAGCTCAGGGAACGCACAAGGGTATTCTTGGGAACCCCCAGGATTCCTGGAACCCAGCTGGAGAATTCGTGAACTAGCAACAGAAACGAAGGGATGTTAGGTACAGGTAATGAGACGGTACAGCGCCCGGTAGGGTAAAACTCTCGAAAGGTGCACTTCAGCTCGGCAGGGGCGCGCGTCAAGGATCGCTTCTAATCATCTCTTTCCGCAGTTCCCTGGACACTAAAGAAACCACTGCTACAAACATCTCCACGTCCTCATCCGACCCTGAGACCACCTCGTGACGCAACCAACGAAGACAAAGGCGACACCACCGGCGGAATCGACCATACAAATGGAGCCAGCACACCGGCCTGCAGTGACGTACATCGAGCTTTACTTCTCGTCATCTGTTTCCGCGACTAAAAATTTACATATTCTGTCTTTAAAAAAATTTTATTATTTTGTCTGCGCATTCCTTCCGAACACAGATCTTTTGACAGGGCTCTTCTTCAAAGTATCGAAGTGCTGTATTGTCATCGTTGCTCTCGGTTTCCCGATCCCAGATATGAGTAAAGAAACTGGCAAGGAAATTATCAAGGCCAATGATAATTTAAGACGCGAGATTAGGGCTGAGCTGCGAACTATAAACGACGGTGTGAAATTGTGCGGTGACACAAGTGGTGCAGTAAACGAAATTTAAAAAATCCGCGAGATATGCGAAGGGAATTGCTAGAACTGTCCACACAAAATGAAGAATTATAACCTCTGAACATCGCAGGCTAAGCGAAAAGATCAAAGAATTCGAGCAGATCATGAGGCCCAATAACCTCGAAATAAAAGACATGCCCGAGAAAGGTGAGGCGCACTACATTATCAAAGAATTTGAAACCTTTTAAGCGAGCCGATATTATACACTGATATTGATTTGTGCCATCGAGTACCTACCTTTAGAAATAGAATTGTCCGATTTGTTCAACGCATAAAACGAGATACAATCTTGCAGAAAAGCAGAAAAACAAAGATTCTGGAGCAAGGACCTTGACTACAGGGGGCACAGCAGCTCCGTTTACGTTAACGAACATCTGGCTGGTTCAAAAAAAAAAAAAAAAACACTGGTTGCTGCGATCGCTAGAAAAGGAGTGTGGTATAGAAATACCCCTTGGCCTCCAATAGGAGGGTTTTTACGAGAAAACAAAAATCAGGCTACAGTCATTAGGATCGTTTTCGTGTCTGATGCCGAACAACTAACGAACTAATTTCTGAGAATAAGCCCCCAAGGGCACACACGATGATACTGGCAGAAGATATTCAGTCACGCTGTTGTTATTACACTTGAATAAAAAAATAAAGAAAATTAAAGGCGGTTTTTTTGTAATACGTTTAGAAACGAGAAGCGTTAAAAACAAAATTGACAATCTTGAGACCCTTTTACACTATTTTAATGTTGAACTTTGTGCTTTTTTGTACGATCGAAAACTTGGCTAACAAAAGAGTACATACCGCCGTACCTAGCTACAAGGCTAATTGTGAAACTGTATGTAGAAAAAAAACGGGGTCCGGCGTAGCTATTTATTTGAATGATAACGTGCATTTCTAGATCATAAATAACCTCACCACATCTATTTAAATTGTAGAAAGCTTATTTGTAAAGATATCATACATTGTAGTTGCTACCGTGTACACGACGCCTACAGGCAATGTGCTTGAGTTTATGTCATTTCCAGAAAATGTTTTTTGCAATCTTAGATCTAAATCTTCTTTTATAAATCTCGGGGATATATATATAAATAATTTTTCGAATGACCTCCCCGCGAGAGAATTCCGACACGTCATTCCCCAGTATGCCTGTAGTCATGTAATAACAATGCCTACCAGGGTGCAGAGATGGCAGTAATGACATTACTGTAATGGAATTACAGTAATTAAATTACTTTTTGAAGTAATGAGTAATGTAATTAATCACTTTTCTAGGCTGGTAATTTAGTAATGTAATGAATTACTTTGAGCCAGTAATTTCGAGAAAATTACACATTACTTTTGAAATTACTTTTGTCCTAAATTAGAAAATTCGCTTGCAAGCTTTAAAAAAAGAAAAATCATTTTGCATGGTAAAATGTCGTTAAAGAGCATCGGAGGAAATAATCAACGGCCACCTGAGCGCAAAACCTTCTACGAAGAGCTGAACAGGCACACAAAGGAGGGCTGGAATGGCGAAGGAAAAAAGCTTACGTGTAGACATCGCTGGAAGGCAACGGCTTACGAACACCAGGCACGACAGATTCACAGCGTCGCGTCATCACGACGATACTATACTTCGCTCATCCCTAAGCTGACAGTGCGGTGGGAGCTGCAAGTTAACCAGAACCAATCAAACACCTTCCTTTAATCACCTGTCCCGTCCCTTTCTCAGTGCGTGGGTATGAACGAGAGCGTGGTTACGTGACGAACGGTAGACGTGTGACTGCTCCAACAAACATGTAGCTTCCACCGCTCATCGCTAAGCTGACAGCACGCCAGCTGAGGGATGAACGGCTCATAGGCTACAAGGCGACGGGCACATCACCAGTGAGTTAAACATAATTTAAAACCTGAGGGGACAGGACAAACAGATCCTCAGCCTTGTACTTTCGTCAAGCAAG